CATCACAGGCCCTAAAGCAAATACTTGATCTCTCCCTAGATGTAGTTCACTCTGCAGGTTCTGTTGAGCATAAATAATTTCTAAATACAAACATCTTTGACACCTCTTTAATTAAATTAATAATAGTTGATGCATTTACTTGAACCATCAAATTTATATACCGAAGAGACAGAGAGAATGTTATTGTTGGTTCTATGGTAGAAACAGAGCATATTGTGAACAAAGGGGAATTTTGAAAGTGAAATTTCTAACATGCATTTAAAGAACTACCACTCTAATGAATCCCTGAGGGCTGGAGATAATATAATTCTTCCAAGGAATGACACTTGTGTATGTGTTTTGGGCCCAAATCAGAAATTGGGTTTTACATTACTTAGAATTATTGAAGCATTCTTGCTGAAGACCAATGGTTGGAGATGCATCTAGCCCTACCATCAAATTATGGGTGAACACTGATGTGGATTTTGAATGAACTCACCAAAGAGTATTTGAGGACCAATATTTTTAGTATACTAGGAACTTAGACTGACAGTAATTCATTTGTAATTTTGCATCACTACACATAGGCTTTCACATTTCACAGATTAATGATTAAATTTAACAAGTATGTTTTCCCATTTTATTTTATTGCCTAGAAAGTAAGTCCTATTAAATAATATTGTTTCTTATCCCTGGCAGCTAATTTAATTTAGGTGAAATTAGGCCTCTAGAACTTCGCTGCATAGCACATAATTGCTGATTTGTTCCAAAGTTAGCTCCACTATTGTATATAACTTATGGATGGGAGTGGACACACCTTTTATAGACATAAAAGTATCTAAAATAGTCTTCTAAAGTAGGAGAAAAATATTTCAAAATGGTATTTTCATTATATTAATGAGAAGTTAAGATTTTACCACAGTTCTTAAACTTGGATTTTAATTACTGTCTATGAAAAGTATGTCCTTGTGAAATATTAAAATGAGCTAAAATGTATGTTTTTATCACATTATAACCAAAGCCATATTTATTAACTCATGTGTGCTGACCATGCTACTCTGCATTTTAATTTGTCTCAAATTACAAACACATTCTTAGAATTGAGTTGTTTTTTGTGTATGCAGTGCATAAAACATTTAATAAATATATTTTTGTCCAGAATTTTAATTTGTTTATGTACTATGCTATAATAAAGTAGATTAGTAGCTATTTAACTTTATTTAGTGTCAACACACATTCTTTTGTGGAGGATAAGCAAAAAAAAAGAAAACCTTTTAAGAGATATAGGAAATCTCTGGGAAGGAGGATTCTTCTGATTTTTGGTCTGAGTTTTATACTTTTTTTAATGTCAACAATCTGTATTATATAGGAAGAACAATTTATTTATTTTTTGAGATGACAGGCAGCACAATTGTGATATGTATTTGAAATTGTGGAGAGTTACTATGGGTCAATCTTGTAATCAGTTTGAGTTCCATCTTAATCACCATTCGTTATAATGATGTTTTAAAAAATATGCTGTGTATTTCACTGGAGATAAAGAAGAATTCCAGATTTTCTAATACTGCAAGGCTTTAGTGTAGATAAGTTTTCCTTTACTACCTGCACATTAGATGAACATTCTACTTGGTTCAATGTAACTGTCATGAAAATTGTTAAATAGCTATGTAATGTATGAAATTAGATTTATGGTTTTCTCCTTACAGATTTCATATACTCACACACAATCACACATTTATGTTACTTAGAGTGTGTTTTTGTTCAATTGACTTTGATTGGTCTTATTGGAATCTGCTGTGCCCTGACATGAGATATCATAAGATATGAAATTTAAAATCATCAAGATGCAAGTTTATGCATTGTTACATACTCTAATCATGATGACTTGAGTGTAGGGACAGCTAGTTCTCTTTACAGAAGGCTCACGTGTCATTTAACTCACTTTTATTTGTGCAGTGAAAGTTGTGTGCTAATATATTGTTTAACCTATTTTTCACAAGGGGTAGGATAAAAGTCTATTTTTAAAGAATTCACAAAAATAATGCTTAAAACTATAACACTTCATTAAACTTGGCTATTTATGATCTTGAACCATTTCAATAGACTCAGACATTTCCTGGATCTAAGTTAATATTAATAGTAAACTTATCCTTTTATAGTTATATTGAACATTAGAACCAAAATGCTTTTGTATTAATTCCTTGTACCGTGAATTTATCATTTTGTAGCCATGCCACTTGAAATCAATACCTTTCATCACATATTAGAAAAGTAATCCAGGAAAATGCTTTTTATTAATGATATGCTAGAGTCCAAATATTTTAGGAGAAAGTTTTATTTAGTGTTGCTTATTCCATTAATACGGAAGAGATGTGACTTATAAAGGCAAGTTAGAGCAGTTAAAAAGTCAATAATATCTTCAAGTTTAGTAATTACATGGCAAGAAGAAACAAATATAGTTTAAAACGACATATTTAAGTTTTAGAATTTATTTTAATGGGTGATAATGGAAATTAGTGATAAGAAAACTTTTAGAATTTGTTCAGAATGTGAAGGAAGTGTAATTGTATACTAAAATATAAAAATATTATTGTATGTTTTTAGTAATACGGAAGAGATGTGACTTATAAAGGCAAGTTAGAGCAGTTAAAAAGTCAATAATATCTTCAAGTTTAGTAATTACATGGCAAGAAGAAACAAATATAGTTTAAAACGACATATTTAAGTTTTAGAATTTATTTTAATGGGTGATAATGGAAATTAGTGATAAGAAAACTTTTAGAATTTGTTCAGAATGTGAAGGAAGTGTAATTGTATACTAAAATATAAAAATATTATTGTATGTTTTTAGTATATATTGACAATACTATCTATGCCTAAAATTGGGGGGTATGGTTTTATTTTAAGCTGCAAAATCTGTAGCATCCATATTACCACTGCCAGGATAAGGTATGAATTATTGCTGGCTGCACAGGGAAATCACCTGGCAACTATGTCTGTCCCATCTAAAACCAATTAAATTAAACTCTCCATTCACGATCATTATCCTACAAAGCTTATAGATGATATAATAACTTTGTTTGAAAGCAATGTTTTCATAGTAAAGAGTGCTCAGTATCATTATCAAAATGTACCAGAAAAATCATCTTTAGGTTATTTACATATAAGCAAATATTCACAAGATATGTTAATCTAGAGATACTTAGGACAAATTGGGTTAAACACAGGGTTGAACCACTACATGAGAAGTTGGGCCATAAGTCAGAGAAAGATCCCAAAGTTTTAACATTGAAGTCATATTATTGAAGCATACAACAAACTTTGTTTTCTTGAAGTCTTTTAAATAAGGTGGATTTTCATCAGTTTTTGTTTAACCTCAAAGACTTCCCAAAGCAGCTTTCAAATTAGTAATTTCATCTAAGTTGTTTTATTTTTGTCCCAGTATTTCAAAACGAATTAGCACTTAAGAAGTCATCAGACCTTATTACACTGTATATGATATTTTAGTGAGAAAGCTTTATAAATTGCAGTAAGATTTTTAATTATGTTTGTAGTTAATTTTAATTTTATCATTATAAATAATTTTTTCTTTCAAGGGAAAATAAAACTTTAGTATTGTGATACTGAGGACAGCAACTTTAAAAATAAGTATCTCCACTGTAAAACCAATAAAAATAAAGGAGAAAAAAACTTTCCTTTTACAAATTTTCTTATATTTCATTAACCGAAGTGGTCCAGTAGAAGATTAAAATTCTAAAATTATTGACATCAAGTTGTGTATATATTTTAAAGTGAATGATTTTGAGAGGGTTAGAGACCTCATGTGGAGTAAATTTTAACAGAATATAGTTTCTTCTAATGCAATTTTTAATATTCAACCCTTTATAAAACAAATTACTTTTACCTATATGACATATTTGAAGAACATTTTTGTATTTATTGTAGTATGGATAACATTCTCCATCAACCTTACTAAGATATTGTATAAAAAAGAAAGGGGAGCAGCCACTGAGAAACTGAAGTGTATGGATTTTTTATGCTTCCATATTTGATGTGTTTCCTATTACATTTCTTTTATAGTGCCTATATCTTCCAGGCCTGTCATCTACATTAAAAGTTTTTACTTAGGACCTTCAGAGATATCAGCCAAACGTTTCCCCAATAACCAGCTAAACATCTCATTGTTAGATGGCGTGCTTTCCTCACTCTGTTAACATTTTTCTCTTTCAAGATCCACAGGGAGATTAGTCTCACGTATGAGATGTAAAAGGTCATTTTTCTCACATGGGTTACCCACTCTGTCCTTTCTTCCTATGCAATTACTGAAAGAACTGATGCTTTCCAGTACTTTTTTCTTTTTTCTCAGATGTTTTCTTTAGCATTCTGTTTTTAAGCTGAAACAATAAAAATTAAAGGTTCATAAGTTCATGTTTACAAAGTAAGGATTGTAAAGGTCTTTTTTATGGCTTTCATAAAATTGAATAGTCTGTCATTTGTATGTACTCTTTTGCCAAAAGTTATTCTTGATATTGAATTACTCGACACCATGTCCAAAAGTATTTGTCTTGTTTTTAGCTGATGAGGGAAGAAGATAGAGGCCAGTGGATAATTTTGAAAGATATGATATAGTTCAGAAGAGTAGAAAGGGAGACACTAAGTTTTAATACTTATCTCAATTCAGTGAATAAAATTTCATCCAGCATCACTAGGTGGCAGGCTGTGCCTTGGTATGGAGGGGAAGTGGAGTGGATTAACCCAGTACCTTCCATATTTTTGTGTGTGTTTCTAGCCTGATGATGACAGTAAAAGAAAGCTCTCCTATAGTCTGAAGTGCTTTTGTAACACACATTCATTCCAAGGATGCAGGTCACAGCCTTTGCAATGAGGATTATCTTTCTGGGATACACACAGTCAAGATTATGATATTCATAACTTTCATAGATTGAAGAAGTTATACTTAAAATGGTTAAAGCATTCTCTACTCTAAAGCATTACACTTCCCCCTTTTTTTTATTGTGCAGGTGACTTGGATTATTACTGGTTGGATCCTGCCACGTGGCATAGTCGGGAAACATCACCGATTAGTTCGGTAAGTTTTCTGAGAAGTGAGATTTTGGAATTTAGGGGTAATGTGTGCTGTTTATTGTCCTTTGCTGATATGTGATAGATAGTAATCTTATTCTGCTCCATTATACATTTTATGAGAGCAAACATTGATTTCATTTAAGACAGAACAGTTTTGAATAAAAAAGTTATCACTGAATAATTATAAAAATTTTTAATAAAAAGGAATTATTAAATGATGACTGGAAATCAGATGTTATTTGGTTAAGTATATCAAAATTAACAATACAACTCAAAATACAGGATCAGTTTCTTTATATAAGCAGATATATTTTTAAATTTCAGTTAATTTTATTTCAGAACTATTTTTAAGGATGTACTTAGCTGCTGACTACTTTTAGAACTATTTAAGGTAATAAGTGTCCACTGCAAATGAAAATTGTCACAATCCAAGGATAGAGCCCACCAGAATCAAGAATTCCTCCTACAGTGTCTTTTAACTGAAGAAATCACATCATGTGACAACTAATAATTATTTGTCTACAGTAAAGAAAACAAATTTTCTTTAACTTTATTCATGTTTTAATAGCATCCTGTAACGTGGCAACCATCTAAAGAGGGAGACCGATTAATTGGACGTGTTGTTCTTAACAAGAGAACAACTATGCCCAAAGAATCAGGTGCATTACTGGGTCTGAAAGTAAGTATGCTGGTTTAAAATGTTTCTTAAAGGGTGAATTACAGTATGGACTGGATTCAACAAAGCATCTGACAATGATTTTTAAATATTTCCTCTCTTCTCCAAATAAAGTCCTTCTAGTGAATGTCTTGTTAACATAGTGATGTTTTATGGTAAATTTAGTATTTTATCTAGGTTAATATTTTAAAAATACTTTGTTAATATGACAATATGTTAGAAAACTGCAATGGATTATAGGAAAACTAAAGAATATTTCGCTGAATATAAAGTTTAAGTACAATTTTTATAGCAAAAAGGTTTTAATGTGTGGTCCTAAGGTTAAATAATGCAGACTGCATAATTTTATTATACTTGACAAGCAACATAAAACATTAGTGATATTGTTTTGTAAGTGCAATAGAATTTGTGGTAATATCAAAAGAGTAAAATGTATCCTTTAAAATATTAATTGACTTTAACAGAGAAAATTAAAAATTAATAAATTACAAAAGATTATATTTTATTGTAGGAAAAATATGTGCATACATTTTGTTTTATTATGTTTATGCATGTGTGTTAAATCTTGTGGTTTTATTTCCTTTAGAAAACAGAGAAACATTCAAAGCTGTGGCTTTAAAATTATTTACCAAGAGATTGTTTTATAGTTGTGTGATAGTTTGATTTCTTCCAAGCCATTGACTATTACAACAAAAAAATTTTAAGTTAATGTATTTAATAGTATCAGTTTTTATTATTACTCTTAATTTCTCTTGTTATGAAGAAATTGTCATCACCTACCCTAATGGGCACATCCCTATGAATGATGGATCAATCTCAACCTTTGAGAATATCCCTCCAACTTCTAATTATACACAGGTAGTCCCTGCTTTGGAAGAAATTAAACTTAGAAACTTTCTGATATATTTATTTTTAGCTAAGTGGAAAAGCCAGGTGAGAGTGTTAAATATTCAGTAATAAAACTCTGGCTTTGAGAGTTAGATTGAATCACACATATTTCAGGTGAGGAGCTCATTCACATGTTCAGTAACAGAGATAAATTTGGGCTGTTATTCTTTGAATGTGGTAAATTGCTTCCCCAAAGTTGCCTGTTGTTGGTCTGAATTCCTGGTCTTTATGTCTTAGACCTACATTCCACTAAATATATACAAAAGAGATCAAGATCAGAAATGCCAATGGGGCATTATCTGCATTTAGAAATATAATTCACATGGTGGGCATGAGTTGAGAGGATAAAGAAAAATGAACCCTAATGTAAACAGTGTCAAACCCTTCCTGTGTTTGATGGTAAGAAAGAAAGAACTGGCACTTGTCTTGTAGGGTTATTCACTATTCATGGCGCCTTTGTGTTGTTAGGTCAATATAAGTAATCAGTACATAAGCTTCCTTAGGATACATAGCCATCTTAAATATAATCTTAAATATAATGAGATGATGTTTTCTTTTTAAAACTATGCTTCCAGCTTCTTTAATCAGAAATGTATTTCACTTCATTAATGTCCCCACATTCAATTCTCAATACATCATAAGAGACTGATGTGATTAATTCCTCAAACTAAAATCTTATGTTTTAGTCTTGGGCACTTATAAATTTATAATTATCCAGGTTGTTGGAGGAAAAATGACTGACTTAGGACGCCTTGGTGCCTTCATCACCAAAGTAAAGAAGGGTAGCCTTGCAGATGTAGTTGGACATTTAAGAGCAGGTAAAGTTTCCTTTCACATTTGAACAATGTGTACTCTATGCATGAGTTGGTGGTTTTCAAATTTGGGTAAGTCATAGATAAGTCAATGAAGTAAATAACTAATTTTAATGCATGAATAGATTTTTTTTCCTGATATTGTCACTAGCAGTTTGGACAAAACAAGTATAAAAATGTTTTTTATGTAAAAATAAATAGATGCAAAATACCAAAAGATTACTAATTTTCATAGATGGCTTCATAATGTTGTTACAAACAGTTAGAGCCTTGTGGAAAAGTAATATCACTATTTATTTCTTTAGTTTGTATTTAAGCTATAGTAAATACTAGTTTTCCAGATTGGTCCCAAAACACTTATTCACTATCAGTGTTTTTAATAAAATATAATCCAATCACATTTCTTATATAAATTATATAATAAAATACTTTTTAATTTAAATGTGACATATATTGTACTCATGAGCAACTAATTTTATTTTGAGAGCAGAGTCCAGACAATTAAACTGTTTGTATATGTTTTGCATCTATTTGTAAAAATGAGAAAAGATAAGAAAAATACACAAAATATATAAGGTAAAAAATTCACTTTTTTTTTTTTGAAGTGTGAAGGCGATGAAGTTCTAGAATAGAATGGTAAACCCCTGCCAGGAGGTACAAATAAAGAAGAGAACATTTCTAGGCTATGTTTTTAGTTTTTATACCTTACGATTGTAATTGTTGAAACCTTGAGAAAAATATTCTATAACTTTTGAAGACATTTTTTGTCAATTGATTACGAGGATAAAAGTTCAGCATCATTTAGATTTTTTATTCAATAGGAACGTACTATGAATGTGTTATTTAGAGAGAAAATTCAAATTGGGTTTATTTTATTTACTATACATACAGCTTTGAATATGTGCAGAGGCAGAGTACACTATTATTTCTTATCAGGGACTAGTTATCCTAATATATAAAAACCCAGGGTCCTTAACGACAGACCCACTGAAGGCTCAACTGAACACTGGAAGTCAGTCTGGCAGTCAGTGCTGGGTTGCTGTGGCGACCCAGCACTGACTGCCACTGGTGTGGGCACAGCAACCCAGCACTGTCTGTCAGGTGGGCTGCGGATCATGCCTGGAGAGAGGCAGGGTCTGATCCGCAGCCTCCGTGGCAGCTGTTGATCAGCCATTGCCTCTCTTTTTCTCTTCGGGCTTCACCAGCATCTGTGCCTCTGTTTCTCTCCAGGCCTCTGCAGGGGCTGCTGATCAGGCCCAGAGATAGGCCCGGAGATGCTGACTGGCATAGAAACTGACCAATCAGAACCAAATCTGGGTGAACTGTGAGGAGCCAATGGGTGCCTAGGAGGCAGAGCTTTTGACCCTGACTGATATAGAAAGCGACCAGTCAGAACCAAATCTGGGTGAACTGTGAGGAGCCAATGGCTGCCTAAGAGGCAGAGCTTTTGACCCTGACTGATATAGAAACCGACTAAAACCAAATCTGGGTGAACTGTGAGGAGCCAATGATTGCCTAGGAGGCGGGGCTTTTGACACTGACTAATATAGAAACCAACCAATCAGAACCAAATCTGGGTGAACTGTGATAAGCCAATGGTTGCCTAGGAGGTGGAGCTTTTGACGCTGACTAGCATAGAAACTGACCAATTAGAACCAAATTGGCTGGCAGGGGAGGGCAGTTGGGGGCCAGATCTGGCCTTCAGGGGAGGGCAATTGGGGGCTAGATCTGGCCAGCAAGGGAGGGCAGTTAGGGGCAATCAGGCAGGCAGGCAGATGCAGTTAGGGGCAATCAGGCAGGCAGGCAGAGAGGTTAGGGGCGATCAGACAGGCAGGCAGGTGAGCGGTTAGGAGCCAGCGGTCCCAGATTGCAAGAGGGATGTCCCACAGGGATCAGGCCTAAACCGGTGTCGAGTACTAGTCATTAAATAACTAACTCAATAAAGAGTGACTGTATCAGCAAATTGAGTCTTTGCTTATTTTATGACTCAAAAATAAGCCTTAGAAAGTGTAAGAATCTCTTGTCGACTACTCAAATGTAAGATAACTTTGCACAAATCTGAATATTCAGATCAGATAATAAACATAATGGCTTTTGATTTTGTCTTTGTGTTTTAATGGATTACTTAAGAAAGTCAGCAAAAGGTGTTGTTTTTTTAATTTCATTTATTTAACACCCTTATGTGCCTAGAGCCTGAGAAACTTAAATTTAACACCCTTATGTGCCTAGAGCCTGAGAAACTTAAATCTAAAATGATAAAAGCTCAACTTTAGTAATTATAAAACATTTTAAAAAGTATTTTAGTAAATTAGATCATATATTCTGATTGACATTATAATTTAAGAACTATTTTTCCTTCTATTTGCATATAAATATGACTGGTCTGTAAAAATATAGCGCTATGATTTTATTACCATGACTTTTGTTCAACATTTGCAATCTTGTTTTAGTCTTGCCATACGTAGCTTTCTCTACTGCAAATGTCCCTCCTAAGTTCATGCACTGTCCTGCTACTGATAGAATCATCAGAAACCCGAAATGGACACTGACACTCTCCTTATAAAGACTCTTCAGCGTCTCCAGTCATGATATGCTCAAATCAAAGCTCAGTGGCTTTGTGCTCTTCTAGCAATTCCATCCACTTCCATTACCTTTCACTCTACCTCCAGCCATGGCAGTCCACCTGTAGGTCCCTGGCAAGCTGTATCTGCCTGTGAGACCTGGTCATCTAGTCTACCTGGTTTCTTTTTTGCTCTTGTGCTCTGCCTGTTGAAGTCCTTTCCATCCTTCAAAACTCATCTAAAGTTCCCTTAATTCTAAAGTGTTTCCTGATATCTCACTCGGGACAGTAACTTATTACTACCTCCTTAGCAATACCTGGCTCTATTTCTGTTCCTCAGATGAACTGCTATCATTTCATGAAAGGTATTGATTTCTATAATTCTCCCCCTCCAAATTTAAGGACAGATAAAGTCTCTTGTTGCATCTTTGTACCATCATAATCTATGTCCCTGCCTGAACATATTATTCATATATAAATAAATATTGCTAGAGAGACCACTTTCTGGTTGAGGATGTATTGATTTGTAAATAAATGTGTGTACTAAGTTAATTTGATGTTAAAAGTTATGCTCCAGGTTGCTGTCTATAAAGAGGAGAATTTTATAATCCAGTCTTTTGAAAAATGTTGATTGCAGTGCATTACTGGGTAGTAAAATTGATTTAATGGTTTGCATCCATTGTTTTTAAAAAGTGAAATAGAACATAATAGAATAGAAAATAACAGGGTAAGTATGGTTCCAGAAAATACTTTTTCATACACATACACACACATATACATATATACATTCACATGAGGTAAACTTAATTTCTTGGCCAAAAAAATTAGAGGACTCCTGATATATATTTAAATTTGTATTTTATTTCTTTTTTATATGAAGTATATTTATTGCCTACTTGATAAACATGGTTAGGGAACTTCTTAGGTCAAACTATTAGAAGTCATTTAACTATTGGTAATAACCGTACTCTTTTACCAAACCAAAACACCATCATGTGCTTTTCAAATATTTAGTTTTTACTTTTTGGGTGAAAAAAATTACTTGTAATAGTTATATCAAAACAAAGTTTTCTACTTAAAGACATGCTAGTTAAAAACTAAAAGATTTCATGTTTATGTTTATGATGATATTGATTCATTAGTTCAAAAAATATTTGCTTAGCTACTAAATGTTATAGACACTGAAAACAACAAAATAAAGGAACAAAAAGATTAAATGCCTCAAAGTACCATTGAGGCTGAATATTTTAGCTGAGCCTTCCATAATGTATTGAAAGGTACTGGACAGAGAACCCTTTGGGACCTAAAACTTCACTAACTATTTATGAAAATAAATAGTATTTCCCAAATTCTGGTGAAAATTCTGGTTAAAAATAACAAGTTGTTAGCCCATGTATTGTAACATGGAATCACGTACTTTCTTTGATTAATCTTATAATATTTAACAAACTAATGAATACTCAAATTTTTATTATCTTAAAAATATTTTCTAACTTTAATGCTCACAATATATATCATGTATAGAATGTGTATGTTATGAACATCTGGAAGTGGGTTAACTGTCATGCGAGTTTTTACATCTGCTTGCTTTGTAACTTTGCCATAGCTACCTGCGTTGCCCTGTAGGTATAAATTCAAGTCCTTTCATGCATTTTTATTCTGTTGTGCATCTGGTGAAGACAAAGACGCATGACTTATAATTGGAAAAATCATGCTAACAAACGTTAATTGCAACTTCTACCAAAAATAAAGCAGGATTAATGTAGAGTTTAATAACAATCTTTTACACTTAGAGAAGGCTACATTTATTATATGGAGGGCATGCTGCTAATTATTATTTTTTAATATTTCCAAATAAGCTATGCTAATTCCATTCCATAGCATGAGATTATTTTTATGTTATTTCTGGTATATTTCAAAAGATGAAGGTAGTTTGTATTATACTGTTTCTAGTGACCAGTAGGATTCATTTGGGGAGAGAAAAAGAAAAAAGAAAGAAAAGAAAAGAAAAAAGTGTTTAGAAGAACAATTTAGCTGACATTATATGGAAATCAAATTTCTTGAGAGCAGAACCTAGACAGTTAAATTATTTGTATATGTTTTGCATTTCTTTGTTTTAAAAAAAGAGAAAAGATAAGAAAAATACACAGAATATGTAAGGTAAAAAAATACCCTTTTTTTTAAATTCAAGGGGATGAAGTTCTAGAATGGAATGGTAAACCCCTGCCGGGAGCTACAAATGAAGAAGTTTACAACATTATTTTAGAATCAAAATCAGAACCTCAAGTTGAAATTATTGTTTCAAGGCCTATTGGGTAAGGCTAAAAAAACTTACTTCTTAAGTTTAGTAAATTACATGTATAGTAGGGTTTTAAAAAGAAGTTTATACATTCATACAATACATGCTAACATGGATACTTTTTCTTCAATGATGGGCATACAGATTAGATTTAAATTTCTTAATTTTTTAAATCTGAATACTGAATTTTCCTCACTACATTTTAGAAGCTTCACAATTTAACAATTGTAATATCAAAAAGTATTGATATGCATTTTCAGACATAAAATATAAAGTACAATATTTTTAATGGTAGATCTGTTTATTTTTAGTAATTCTCATTTAATGAATAATATTTCCTTAAAGAGAGTCACTAACTTATCTTCTTGTGATATTTAAAATAGTAATGATTTCATATGTCTACATGAACTTTTTATTCTACTAAGAATAGAATATTTTTTATATTTTTAAAAAATTAAGCAAGTGTGAAATATTTTAACATTTTAATTGGTCATAATAATTAATACGATATTTTTAAAACTTCAATTTTCAGCATAATTTAATTATCTGCTGGCAGTAAGATAATTTCTATATCTTTGTGTAGAATTCCTCATAGAGTGAGCTTTTCCTGGCAACCCATAAAGTCTAGAACATTCATTTTGCCAGTTGACATTATTTTGGAAGGCATGTTTAATTGTCTTATTATAATTGGTTTAATATATGAATATATTTTTTGAAACAATTTTCTTTTTTTCCTATTCCCTAAAATATTATAAAGTCATTAATTAAAGATATTTTATGTTGAATAAGTGCTAACCTTAAATTTTTGTTGTCCTCATGAATATGTCACTGTAAAACATACAAGGAAATATGATTATTCTAATTCTCAAAAGACTGAAAATGTATGATAATATATTTCAAAGAATAATATTTATATATATATATATATATATATATATATATATATATATATAAAACTCTAAAATAAAGACAAGCTTATGGCCCATTTTAAGTGGTGATTATTAAGAGTGAACACTTACAAAAGTGTTTTACATTTCAATGCAGATTATTTTAAAAAATAGCTCACTATAATTTATGCTAGTTTTACATAACACCTGTTCTAGTGCTTAGGTAAATATGAGGCTGGAAAAGAGGTAAGTAATTGGAAAATGAATCAAAATATTAAAAAAATTTAAAATCAAGCATGTGCACTTTGCCAAATACTTTCAGATATATGGTGGTTTCAAATTAGCTAAAATATTTTTGATTCTTAGCGACTTTAAAAAACAAAGACAATTAAAGTAGACTGGAATAACATTTTCATTATTTTATACTTTTGTATGAAAATAATTTCAAAGGTAATAATCCACATAGCCAAAGCCTAAACTGTCACATATATAAAGAATATGGGATATAAAAATATTTATATAAAAATTAAATCTAGTATTACTTTTCCAGTTGATGGAAATATTATTAGACTCCTGAAAAATAATTCTAGTTATTTAATAACTATGTTTAATGTAGTTTTATAAGTAATTTAAAACTGAAAGCAAATATTTATTCATAGTTTTGTGGCATAATCATTTCAATAATTATCCCAAGTATAATTTACATGCACATTAGTCAATATGGTCTAGCTACAGTGGAAAACAGTATGGAGGTTCCTCAAAAATATTAAAAATAGAGTTACCATATGACCCAGCAATTCCACTTCTGAGTATTATCCAAGAAATCCAAAACACTAATTTGAAAAGATATATGCACCTCTATGTTAACTGCAAAATTATTTACAATAGCCAAGATATGGAAGCAACCCAGGTGTCTTTCAATAGGTGAATAAAGAAGATGTAGTACAGATATACAATGGAATTTTATTCAGCCGTAAAAAAGAATGAAATCTTATCATTTGTGTCAACATGGATGGACCTGCTGAGTGAAATAAGTCAGACAGAGAAAGGCAAATACCATATGATTTCACTTATATGTAAAATCTAAAGAACAAAAGAAATGAACAAACAAAATAGAAATAGACTTAATAAAGAAAACCAAGTGATGGTCAGGTCACTATGTGGGAGGGAGATTGGGGGGAATGGGTGAAAAAGGTGAAAGGGATTAAGAAAAATAAATTGCATATATATATATGTACACACACACACACACACACACACACACACTCATCACAGGGATGTAACATAGGGAATATAGTCAGTAATATATCAGAGTGATCACTTCCTAAGGTATATAAATGTCTAATCTCTATGTTGTATACCTGAAAACAATATAATATTGTATGTCAAGTATAATTGAAGATGAATTTTTAAAAGAGAGATGTAAAATAGTAATTTAAAAAGAAAACAAAAACCCATGGTCTAAGAGACATCAGTCATCTTCACGTAAATTGACCATTTTTGCCAACCTACCAAGTACAATATGCTTAACCTTTATGCTTAATTGTTATTAAAACTATTCTGCTACATCACTTGTGTGTAGAATTGTGTAAATGTCAATTGAAAATTTATGCCTTGAAAATATTACTGAAGGAGTCAACATTAAATAAATTTTGATTCAAAATCACTTAAAAAGTTTTACAACTTTTTCACAATTCTTCTTTCACAAACACGTAAAATCCAGAGCTTACACCTGGTTTCAGAGTTCCATGTTCTAACTTTCACAATAGCCTTTGAGGTTGAGTTTCAAAGTTATAATATATAAAAAAATTTTTCTGGATTTTTAAAAATTTACTTTTATTTCTCCAATTAAATTTAGAAGAAAGTTGTGGAGGATAAATAGTTGGTTTCTTGCATCTTAGGTATTGCAATTTAGTCTCCTAATTATCATATAAAATATTTTATAAAAATTCTTTATTATACAAATATACATATAATAACATTTATTTATAAAATACATAATACAGGTTATAGTGCCAATTGCAAAGTGTATAAATTGTAGGTGGTTATGAGAATTAATTTGCACAAAAAATGTGAAAATGAGAGGCAGGAAAATAATCAAAAGGAGAAAATTGTTTTTGTTTCTATTCCTCCCCCCTTCCCTGAAAGTGCAAAGAAAATCAAATTGAAATTAAATAACAAGGTAAGTGGTTAGAAATTCTTAAATAGTATTTTAATGATTCTCTTAATACTAGCTTACTCCAGTCTGCTTTAATATGTCATGTTAATACTTGCATACTGTTAATCTGGTCCTTACATTATACTAAAATATCTTTGGAATACCAGAGGTAAAGTAGTTCCGTATAGCACAATTTCCAAACCAAGCTGGTCCAAGGTTCCTAAGGTCACAGTGGATAATGGACTAAGTTGAGGTTATATTAAATATTTATTCAGAATTATTTGTGAGTGTGACAGGAATGGGTGTTCTCACAAGTCACTTTCTAATCATATCTAAATAACCATCTACTTAGCTAACTTCAGTATAAAGATATGAATCTCAATATAGGGTTATATATGTGTATATTAATTATATATTCACATATATAAAGTATTTTGGCTTTTTTGTTGCAAGCTTGTATCATTTTTAATTTTCAATGCAATTCATCCTTTTCATTTTATTAACTTTGCCCATGATATTCACCATATTATTTTAGTATCAAGAGATGTTTGCATCCCTTTCATTCAGTAAACTCTTTCAGATGTGTTTGTAAAGCATATTACTGATTTGTAAAAGATGTGCCATTTTAATTTTCTAGAATTGAAATGAACTATTACCTTTGACATTTTTTTTTATTTCCAAAACCTGCTGTTTTGGTAGTAAAAATATTGTGGTAATTTTAGCCACAATATTAGTCTTATTGTTGTCATGTTAAAAGTATTTTGCTATTAAATATTAAAAAATTATTTTTACTGCAGTTTTTATTTTTATGTGGTGTTTGACATTCATGCACATTAGTAATTGCCTTAATAGTGACTCCTGTCCATTTCCACCAATAAAGACCCAAAAGGATTCTTCACACCACTGAAGTAAAATGTGACTGATTGCCTCAGGCAGGTACTGCAGCTAATGGGATTTTCACCCTACACTGTTTCTTTTAGTGACATTCCAAGGATTCCTGAGAGCTCCCACCCTCCCTTGGAATCCAGTGAGTATAAGGAAGATTTCCTTGTTGTTATGGTATGTGTTGAATGAAATTGAAGAATAAAGATTTATTGTTTTCTTTAGTTATTTGATGTAAAAGACTTGGTATGGTTATATTAAAGTTATCTCCAATGATACCAGAAGTTGGCAACCATAATAATCATTGGAAACCCAAAGGTATTCTAAGATTTTTTTCTTTTTCTAATCTGTGTGTGTGTGTGTGTCTACAAAAATCTTTATTGGCAATACCTTTCTGAATCATAAAAGTCAGGATCCCTCATAGAGCTCAGTTATTACACCTGTGATAGTTCTATTTACTTTACTGTATCAAATGCATACCATCATGTTATGCATACCTGCTAGAGATGAGACCAGATTTGGTTTTGAGCTTGCTGATAACCAGTATACAAATGGAAATGGAACCAACTGCATAATTTATAGAGTTGATACTCTTTAAGAATTATCTGCTGTAAAAATAAAAACAAACTGATTATTAGAAGTACCGATGTTCTTGTACTGAGACCCCCCAAAAATATTATCTTAAGGAAACTTGATAAAAGAGACATAGTAACAAAGAATATTACAGCACTGTTTCTTATAGTTAAATGTCTTTGGCAGGCACAGAATGATGCTTTGTGGCTTAAATTAGACTTTATTTATAGGATAGAAAAAAAATTGTGTGGATAGCAAATTATCAGGCAATGGTCCATGAATAGTGTTTCATCAATAAAGCTAAGCTCTGAATGGATGTGGGTTCAAGGTTATACTTACTGGAGTAACAGCATTATATAGACATTCTATACTGCTGGTTGTGTCAGGGTACACTTAAACAGTGAGTTGGGACTAGAGCAGTGATGGCGAACCTTTTGAGCTCGGCGTGCCAGCATTTTGAAAAACCCTAAATTAACTCTGGTGCTGTGTCACATATAGAAATTTTTTGATATTTGCAACCATAGTAAAACAAAGATTTATATTTTTGATATTTATTTTATATATTTAAATGCCATTTAACAAAGAAAAATCAACCAAAAAAATGAGTTCGCGTGTCACCTCTGACACGCGTGTCATAGGTTCGCCATCACTAAACTAGAGAGTTTTCATTTGAAAAAGGGGGGGAAAGGGCCTCATGGAATGGCTGAGTGGAAAGCCAGCCTCCTCCACAAGAAGGGGAAGCAAGTCACTTGTGGTGTATCATAGAGCCAGCATTCTCAGACTTTCAAGAGATTCATTTGTAAGAGCTAAACTGAGATAGATGGTAAATCTTATTTTAAAACAGTGATGAATTCCAGGCTTAGATGTACTCATAAATTATATATGCATTCATTTAAATTTAATTAAGGATAGTTCAAAACAGATGATCCTTTAGCCAAGATAATTGACATAACGGGTACCATCTTTCTCATTAAAAGTGTGAAGCCTTCTGCCTATATGTGAGATTATGCAAGAGCCTAAACTGTACCCTCTAAAAAATGTAGAAAATCAATACTTACAAATTGAAGCAAATAAATAAAATATTTGATTATATCCATTTTATTACCTGTAAAATAGGCAGTTAATCAAAGAAGATGGCGTAAGTTTCTACAACTAATTGAAAGTAGGCTCTGCTGTTATTATTGGTATTTAATTCTGGTTTTATACAAATAACATGAATTTAACATTTTATAAAACTACTAGGGGCCCAGTGCACAAATTCGTGCACCTGGAAAATGAACTGTGGGCTGTGAGGTTGCTGTGGGAACAGGGGCGGGTCTCAGCCCATCCTCTGCACCCCCGCCCGGCCCCTCCCACTGCGGCCCCAGGTCCCCTGTCTGCCCGCTGTCCCACCCCTTCCGCTCGCTCCCACACACTGATGGTGCTGGTCCCGCTTGCACCCGCTGACAACTCGGAACAATTAGGGCCGGCGCCAGCAGCGGGTGCAAGTGGGGATGGCGCTGTCAGTGGGTGCGAGCAGCAGCTGCTGCCCCAATCACCCCTCAGAAGCAGTGGGAGGTGGAGAAACCCTCAGGGGTGATTGGGGCCAGCAGTCGCTTTCGCACCCGCTGATGGCTCTGAGCCATCAGGACTGGCACCGGGCACCAGCAGCGGGTGCGAGCGGCGGCTCTGGCGCCGGCAGTGGGTACAAGTGGGTGCGAGAGGCAGCTGCTTGCCCTGATTGGCCCTCAGGACCGAGGGGAGGTGGAGACCTTGAGGTGTGATCAGGGTCGGCAGCCGCAGCTGGCAGCTGCTGCCGGCAGCGGGTGGGAGCTCTAGATGGGACTGCAGCACGCGGAAGCAAAGAATTTTCAGTAACCACCAGAGGCTCGCCCTGATGACAGAGACTGGCACCCCGCCTTGGTCTGGTGCCCCTGCTCACCTGCTCCACCATCCTGCCGTGGCTGACTCCCACCATGTTCTGTGCGCGCCCCCTGGTGGTCAGTGCCCGTCATAGAGACCGGTTGTTTGGTTCTTCAGTTGTTCTGCCATTCGGTCTATTTGCATATTAGGGTTTTATATAGATTTATCCCCACACATATGGTATAAATATACTACTGAAAATTACTTAGTTTTTTTTTCTCATTTTAGGTTCAAGTTCTTTTGAATCTCAGAAGATGGAAAGGCCTTCCATTTCTGTTATTTCTCCAACAAGTCCTGGAGCTCTAAAAGATGCCCCGCAAGTCTTACCAGGACAACTTTCTGTATGTATTTTTTATACATGGTGAAGACCATTAATATTTGCTCACTGTTCTGAGTCTATCTTAAAAAATGTATGGCTTTTTTTAAAGCTCATGGTATATTCATAGTCACTTAACACCATAGTCAACATCAATGCATTTTTCATGCATTTTTAAGATCATTCCTTTGTTTATATATTCATTTGGAAATATTTATTGAGTGTTTATAATGTGCCAGATGTTCTGAACATTAAATGATAAATAACCTAAGTAAATATAATATCCATTATAGTTTGTTATACAAAAGTTTCTGAAGTAAGTAGTTGGTTAGACATAATAAACTCAGCAAATTATGTGTCATTTACTTAAAACCTTATGAGCCTGGAGACAGAAATATTTACATTTAAAAGTATTATTTTTAACTTTTTAAGACATTTGGTGAAACTCGTTATGCTGATATCACCCTGAAAAAGCTATAATTTTCTTCACTGTTGCCTTATCTATGACCCAGGAAAAGCTGGATAAAGAAACTATGGCTAACTTAGGAAAACTCACATCTTTGTAGATTATGGTAGAATATTGGACATTTGTATAAATAACTAAAATAAAGTGTTGCTTTAAATTATTCTATAAATATTAGTTGATCTTTTTCTTTGTTATAAAATATGGATTTCTGTAATCTGTTTTTGCCACTCTCCTCTTGGTTTTAATTAAATAAGATAACTGTAAGCTTGCTGTTATTTTAAAACCTTTCTTAGTCTTAACTTGATATATTGAATATCTTTGTTGAGTCTTTTATGTTTATTTTAGTTTCCCTGCCATCCTTTTATTTTCATTGTATGTGTAAATCTCTCATATACTCCACCTGTATTTTGAGAGGAATAAAAATTCATTTTAGTTTTATGAAAAACACATCTCTGTGATTAACTGGGAACAGAGATATGAATTCATACAGATCCGTGTTTGAATCATTAATCTGCCCCTTACTGTGAAAAAACAATCCCATGGTAAATTAGCTTATCTGCTTGTAATGACTCTTAAATATGTTCCAGTATATACCCATTAAACAATTACATTTTTATTTAACCATAAAACTAAAACTGACATAAAAATTTTTAAAACAAAATTAAAGTTAACATTGTCTACTGCTAACACAAATACTGTATTGGCTGCCAAAGTCTTGGTTCTTAGGAGTCTAACAATAGCTCAGTGTGTCATTTTCCTATTTTTCTTTATTCAAACTATCATGAAATCTTAGGAGAAATATCATTATTTGGCCTTCACTTATTCTGAAGTCATCATTTATGTATTATATATCCCTTTGTTCTTTTCCCCTTCTCTCAAGAAAATTAACCTATAATAGTTTAATTATAAAAATTAAATGAGACAAAACAGAAAACAGCAGTAACTGGTGTAAAATAGACCTACAGTAAATGTGTTTCTTGATCTCCCAACTCTCTTGTACATATTGTTCCAAATATGAAATCTCATTTTAATTCATCTACATATGGTACTATAAAACACATTTAGGCACACTATAATTATTAAGCACTTATAACCACCAGCCATTTTCATTTGTCATTTAAAAACAAGAATAGCCCTGGACAGGTGGCTAGGTTGGTTGGAGCATCTTTCCATACAACCAAAAAGTTGTGGTTTTGATTCCTGGTCAGGGCGCGTACCTCGGTCGGGGGTTCCATCCCCAGTCGAGCACGTATGGGAGACAACTGATCAATATTTCTCTCTCACATCCATGTTTCTCTCTCTTCCTTCCTCTCTCTCTAAAATATCAATAAAATTAAGAAAAATGTAACCTCCGGTGAGGATTAAAAAAAACCCACAAGGATAATAATTTTAAAGTCCGCTACTTCCCTTTATTTTTTATAAAATGTTTATCGTTAGTTTATTTTCATAGCATGATATGATATAAGAGAATATAACACTGCAGGTCTACCAGTTGTAAGTCATGTTTAAGATGCATGAAGAGAAAAGTCAAGTTCTAAGTGGTTATGCCTTCAAATTGGTATTCTTTTTCAAAAATAATATATACAATTCAATTAAAAATGTTTCTTAAAAATAATTTTAGTATTCTTTTGTAAAATTATAGCTCATTATTTTTACAAATAATTTCTTCCTTCATTGCTCTTAGGTGAAACTGTGGTATGATAAAGTGGGACACCAGCTGATTGTAAATGTTCTGCAAGCAACAGATCTACCTTCCAGGGTAGATGGGCGGCCCAGGAATCCCTATGTAAAAATGTATTTTCTTCCAGATAGAAGGTAGTGAATAATTTTAGAAAAAAATATGCAAAAATCTTTACTAACAGAAAAGGCAGAATTTCCTTTCTTGGATATAGTTTTACTTATTTTGTAAAGCTTTATTGAGATAAAGTTGTTATGCTAAAAATTGCACATATTTAATGTGTACATTTGATGAGTGTGGACATTTGCATACACCTGTGATATAGTTTTAAAATTTAATAGATATTTATCTGAGGGAATGAAGTACATTATCTCTTAAAAGCAAAGCCCTCAAACCTTGTATTTTTTAAAAAAATAATCTTCCAAGTTTTAAGTTTTCTATTACCTTAATTATATACATATTAGTCTTTGATAGCTACACATCATTTAAAATATACCTCTGTATGTGTTTACCTATAATCATAACTACTGCTTACATTGTAGTTAAAATGAGAATAGCATTAATCTCTACAGTATTTTTAGATTTTTTATATTAAAAGAAATGAATTAAACCCCAATAGCAATATCACATGTAACTACAGTAGGTGGCAGCATATACTTGTTTTTGCTCTTTCATTTACAAAACATACTTCTTTTTTAGTGATAAAAGTAAGAGGAGGACCAAAACCGTAAAGAAAGTACTAGAACCAAAATGGAATCAAACTTTTGTCTATTCACATGTACATCGTAGAGATTTTAGAGAACGAATGTTAGAAATAACTGTGTGGGATCAACCAAGAGTGCAAGAAGAAGAGAGCGAATTTCTCGGAGAGGTGATGTATACTGTAAAGATTCAAGTCAAATGCTTATTCAAGTTTTTGTGATATGCATTGCTTATGATTGCCTCTTAGATTATGTCTGGTAAATGTGCTTGCTTAATTTGAGAATGCCCTTGCAGATCCTCATAGAATTGGAGACAGCACTTTTAGACGATGAACCACATTGGTATAAACTGCAGACACATGATGAATCTTCACTACCTCTGCCTCAGCCATCACCTTTCATCCAAGGCGACACATTCATGGAGAAAGCTCCAGCAAAAAACTACAAAGTAGGTTAAAGTTCTTTTTAGTTACCAGAATTAATTATGTTGTAATGAGATTAAATTTCAAGGTATTTTCTCAAATGCCTGTTAGAAATCAGAGTATTGGAAAAGTATTCATTTATGTAAAGTGACCTGGCAAAACCATTTTCTACATTTTCCCACTGAATATGATATATACATAACAGAGTAATTCCAGAGCTGAAAGTTGAACACTCTGAATTGTAATTCTTTGCCCAGTACTGATTCAGTTGTTGATTGGTTAGGTGATAGAGGGATTTTTGTTATTATTAATGGATTGCTATATATTAGCGGCAACCTCTTAATAAGTTTAAAGTTCCTAGGTATTTTTAGTATTACTATTCCTAAAAAATTAAAATAAACATATAAACTTTGTTGTTTTGCAACCAGTGATTGGGAAAAACTATTTTTTCTGGGCATCTCCATTAAATTTGAATTATGACTAAATCTCTCATTCAATAATTGAAACATAGATGCTTCTCTTTGGTAATGTAGAACCAAATTGTTTGCCTCATATAATTAAATATTTCATGCTAGTGCTTCTGTGATCAAGCATTTCCTCAATATTAATATTTAATGCAGTGTAATGGCTAGTTCTGAAGGCTAACCATGCATATTTTATAACGGGCCCTGATGTCCTTGCAATAATATGAGCTCAGTGGAGCTCCATCCATGAAAGGTCTCTTTGAACCTTTCCACTCAGCCTCATCCTCCTCGAACTGCAGAGGAGGACACCTCACTGGATAGAAAACAGTGTACGCACTTTGCAGTAGGCTTTTAGCATAATGCCTGAACTAAAGAATAAATTGAAAAGTCAAAATCTTATTCTATGAAGTCCCCTCCCTTCAATGATTTTATGGAGGAAATACCTAGAAACTGTTATCCTTGGAGAACAAACATTACTTTAAAAATCTGCTCATCGTTTACTTCCAAAAGTATTTAGTAGTAATATAATTAGCTGGAATTTTAAAGGACTGTGACCATGTCATTTACATTTCATAAACCAACAAGACACAGAGGTATCTGTTTGCCTTACTGTTGTGCAGGATCTCAGCGAATCAGTGATAGTGACATCTCAGATTATGAGGTGGATGATGGTATTGGAGTAGTGCCTCCAGGTGCGTGGGTGACGAGCATGACCCTGTTTCACTGTGTGACTGTGCCTGTTTTCACTGTCAATCTCCAGATGTCTTTGGGATACTGAACTGGAGATATAGCACAGATAAATCAGTGTTATATTATTCCATGGTGGCTTGTGTTCCAAATTACTACGAACATTTAAAATTGACTAGCCACTATTCATTAAGGTCCCCACTTTTTTTTAACTTAGGTTCTTTCTTGCAAGCATGGCTAGCTAGGCTTAAATCATTATTTCACAATGCTGTGAGCGTAACTGAAAAAAATTTCATTGTGAAAGGATATGGTTAATTTTCTTTTTAAAAATCCATTTTCTTATGTTTTATCTTGTATATCTATGATTTCCCTTCTTCAGTTTTGAAATAATGTAGCTGTCCATGGAATATATTGAGAAAGGTGCATGGCAGAATTTAAAGCTGCATGTGGCATGGCTTAACTTCTAATGCTTTTGTGATGTGTTTACCTCTAATTATAACTAGAATGTGAATTTATGTTTTAAAATAAGGAAATGCTTTAGAAAGATTCCTTTTAAGTCAATTTTTTGTTGTATAAGTCAGAAAAAATTTTTATGGCATTGTGGAATTCAAATCTGTTTTTCATCTGACTATTGTCAGAAAGGGAGTAAAATCAAGTAATAAAGGATTATTTTCTTAGCACTAGTCCTGTACTATTTCCTTGCTTCACTAATAAAAAGTAAGAAAATATAAAAATAAGAAGATATTAAAGAAACAATCTTGGGACATATAAATAAGAATTATTAAAGGCTTTTCTTTTGGACAATGTTGACATATAACCCCTTAATTTATGTAATTTCTCAAATACAGATGCACTTAATTTGAGGGTGATGGTTTTGGCAAAGTTAACAGACAGATTCCACACTAGTGACTAAATTCACAATTTGGAAAGATACATACAACTTCATTAAAACTAAGAGAAAATTATAGAGTTCTATAAAAATTACGTCTCAGTTGCTTTCATAATTCAGAGAAAATACAGTATTTAATCACTGTATTAAATAAAAATATCTCTAAAAACCATAAAGCTGGTGGTGTACACATCTACATGCCTAGTTATCACTCTTGATTATCAGACCATCAATGAGAATTTAAAATAATCTTGGATAAAAGTTGGCAACATTTAATATTTTATGCACCGGTGGGGTCCCTTGGCCTGGCCTGCGGAGATTGGGCCGAAACCAGCAGTCGGACATCCCCTGAGGGGTCGCAGATTGTGAGAGGGTGCAGGCCAGGCCAAGGGACCCCACTGGTGCACAAATCTGTGCACCGGGACTCTAGTATAAATGTAATTTACTTCTGTGGATGATTCTCACATTTATTCAGCTAAAAATTTTGTATATTTTATGCTGAGGCAGGATAGTGAATGACTTAATAAATGGCCAATTTAATAAATGTTAAAGGGGGAGTTCCTTCTTCTTTCCCTGAAAGATTCCATGGACAACAGCCAAAATGGGCGTTAGGGGACCCACTAAAGTGCTTGGGTACCACCAAAGAACACTGAATTCTAAATATACTTATATTCCATAATGAAACATGCCATGTCATGATGTTCTGTAACTTCTAAATTATCATTTCAAATATTCATTTTTATTTAACATTTAAAATTCAATGAGGGAAACTCTTCATGGAATATAACTAATAAATTACATTAACAATAATTAATATTTTATGGTCCAGAGGTCTCTTTATAAATTAATAAAGGAGTAATGAAATTTATTTATATTTGCAGGTATACTCTTTATTACTCCAAAATAAGTATGTGGTACCTCCTAAAGACTATGTGTGGCAAATAGAATATAGCCACCCACTCAGTGCTATACTAGTACATACATGTTAAAGAAGAAAGATGAGCATCTGTAAAATAAGGGCAAGAAGCTAAAATACGGTCAAATGATAAGTTAATGAAAAGTGTGTTGACACATTCTCATATAGAGGTTGATTACAAACGCATTTCCTAGCATCCAACATAAGGAGAAATCTATTTAGATATAGATACCAATTCTGCATGTTTTTTCCCCATCTATTTTTAAAAATGCACTCACAAAATCTATCACAGCCACCCCTTAAACTTTCTACTGCCTTGGCTTTTCTTAGAACCAGAGTTCAGTGCTTTTGTTTGGTGCTTTGATACCTTTCTCCACTGAGGGAATCTAAGGCTCTAAAAGAAGTTGAGGCCTACAGAACTACATCTATTGACTGTATAGTTATCATAATGTTATTTTTATTTAAAATAAGTAATTTTAGCAGCATAAGGAAAGTACAAATAACCATATACATAGTGCCCTAATCTGAGGCAAGATATCCTGCAACCTCAGCTTTTCAGAGCATTAGGCAAATTCAGAAAATGGAGAAAACCTCTAACTTCTAATTTTCAGCCAACTGAAACATTGAACTATGCATAAAATAGCAATTCTCTTCCACCTTTTTCTGAAGGTAGAGTACATGTTGTCAATCACAAATTAAACATAATAAGAAAATCAAATTGTTTTGTAAAAAGCAGATAAGAACTACGTATGCATATTAGAATAGGATAAAAAAAAGACATTAATTTCTATATAAAGACAAAGAACCCAAGACAAAAATTAGTTGTACCCTTTTAACAATAGCAAGACATCCAAATTCTCTGAGTTATTTATAATAATTATTCCAAATTAGAAAGTTCTACTTATATGCCTTGAATATTTATTGAACTTTTGAAATGGTGCTCTCAATTCAATATTGAGCCTCCATAATTGTTGTGTAATTGATACCAAATGTTATTAAAAGATACCAAAAGTTAATTTAAAATGTTTAACCAATTTAGACTTTGGATTAAATAACTTTGAAAACAGCCATCATTTTTTATATGCTGCAAAATAATTTCATTAACTGAAAATTGGTCTCTTTTCTAATTGCAGTTTATATATCTGAACAACAATAAAGAAACTTTTATGCATGGAACTCAAAATAATAGCCTAATTGCTGTTATTTTTATTATAAAATGAAAATATATGAAATTATAACGTTTATAGTTATATTATTCGGTTGTTATCCTGATATGTTTAGAGTGACAAAAATGGTTGAGCTTCTTTGGTCTCAATATTGACACATTACACTTTATAAAATATTAAAGACCTAACTTCTCAGTTAAGCTCAGTAAAAATATCATATAATCACAAAAACATAAACTGTTAAAGAATTTTAGTCTTCCTTTAATAATGATGTTCCATGGCATATGGGAGTTATTAATAACTAAGTGAACAACAGTTTAGGCTGCCCAATTAAATGTAGTGTTTTCATGGTTCATGGACATTTTATGTAGTTGTAAATATAATTATTTTTCTTTGGCCAGAGAATTTAACATTTCACTTTTAATAAGAAGAAACAGTGACCCTGTTAAAAAATGTAACTAAACTGCTACTATAGATTTGAGATACTTTTTATCTTAAAATTAGAGATAATATAAACAGAGAATGACTTTTAGAATTTATTTTTAATTGAAATTATATTAACTAATAATTATGTTACTACTAACACATTTGTGGGATAATTTCAAAAGTCTGGGGTAGATTTGATGATTGCTTCTTTTGGAGAGTTAATTCTCTCTGTGTTATTGTCATAGTCATCTCCACCAATACATTGTTTTCATTTGAAATTTGCAATATTATCTGTGGTTTGCAAAATTCATAATCAGTATTTGTAATAGTGAAGATCTGCTACTCTTTGTTAATTAAAATTGGAATGAAATTATTTCCATTTACTTATTCGTGAAGTCATCTGAAACTCAATTAAAATAATTTGGAAGAAAAATTTAAATAATATTTAAAGAGACACCAAATTTCTAAGCATTGACTTGTATATTAACTCTAGTTTACTGTCAAGTTCTTGATTTGTGTTGCAATAACATTACTAACTCATTCATTCTTTACGTTAAAATAGTATACCAACTCATTATAATGTCTGAGGCATCAACTGTCATATTTATTTATATTCAGTAGCTTCATGGTACTTTTGAGCCAAACTGTAACCTGTTCTTATGCATGTATCTGTTACACTCTTTGTACATACACTTAATAGTTTTGAAGATATGGGTAATAGTACTGATTGCATGTCATTTATTTTAACGTCATTTATTTTAACATGTCAGTGGCTCTCTTAGATATAATTTGCTATCTCCACATTAACATTTACATTTTAAAATACTGACTCATTTTTTGTGTGTACTCTTGCCAGTAGGTTATAGGTCTAGTGCTAGAGAAAGTAAATCTACAACATTAACTGTGCCAGAACAGCAAAGAACAACTCATCACCGCTCACGCTCAGTATCTCCTCATCGCGGCGATGATCAGGGAAGGCCGCGTTCACGTTTACCAAATGTGCCATTACAGAGGTAGGCTGGGAGACGGGCTCCGTGTTCCTGACAGTATGTTTTTATTATAACACTATAAACTACCACAGGCTTCTGTCTGAAATGAAATCAGGGTTTGGGCAATCAAGTTTTTTTTTCCAGAGTCAATTGTAGTCAAAATGCCTTTTTATTCATGGCCCAAAGTTCTATTCTTTCATCTCAACATTCTGTTCTGTGCAACATTCTGCTCATTAATCTCAAGAAATTTCTCAAGGAATGGAAGAAGTTTATGTCCCAAGCACTGTTTTTGAATAATTATCTTGTATTCTGCTTGCCAGTTGTCTCTTCTGTTATGAGAAATCATGTGGTAATGAATGAGACCTGTGGAGAAAAGTGGCAAAGATAATGAGATTAAGAGGAGGAATATATTTTTTTAGAAATTTAGGATTGTCTTTTTGAAGTACATTAAATACTTGGAAAAGTGTATAAGTTATAAGTAATATATTGCTTTATTTCCTCTGACCCTGACTGAAATTTTAATCAAGTAAGCAGATAAAATTATGGGCCTTTTTGATAGAATTGCAAAAGAAGTTTGGAAAAACAGAGCATTCATAGAGAAGTGTCTTTATAAGTCCTGATGAAATAGTTATTTGGTTATGATCCCAGTGCTTTTCTAGCTATGTCAGTTGTTTGCCAATTATTGTCAATTCTTCCCGGTTAGTCTGCCTGCCTGATTTGGGAAGATGATCCACTTTGATGCATATGGATTTTTTGTAATCATTTTAGGAGTTTAGATGAAATTCATCCAACAAGAAGGTCACGTTCTCCAACCAGACACCATGATGCCTCTAGAAGTCCAGTTGATCACAGATCCAGAGATGTGGATAGTCAGTATTTATCTGAACAAGACAGGTATTTGTTTAAATTATGATCTCAACATTATACATTTTTTGCTCTGTTTTAATGTATGGTTGATATCTTGGCATAGTACATTAGAGAGTAAAAGTAATTCATCACTCAAAATTGAACTTTTCTCACTTGGCTAATATTAGATTGTCATAATATAGGCAATGTTTAAAAAAATAAAGATGCTATGTTTAGCTATTTTCTAATGTACAATTTATTGTTGATTTAGCCTAGATCATAGAAGTGAGCCCACAAAAGCAATCTTCAAATATTTTCTATTTTGTTGATTGTAGCCTTTGGGTTGCTTTTATGTAATTATAAAATTATGTATTTTATATTATTAAAATTTTTAGATGCGGTCATCTGAAGGATAGATAACATTGCAGAGTTTCTGTGAGGACATCAATAATAATATTTTTATATACCTACTTTTTATAAAATATATTTCCATAAAATGTCTATAAAGTAGAAAATATTGAGGTGGATTCGTATGAAAAAATATATCCTGGACATAATTACTAAAAATCTGCATTGTGACTCTACATACCCACAGACTTACTTTCCAAACGGACCATACCTGTAATAATATGCCTGACCACAAGCTCAGGATATGATTTAAGGTGTTATAATACCCACATTATTGAATATTCTCTTCTGTCTTTTTGAAATGGAGAAACTTTCAGGGAGGAGTAGGGGGAATGATAGCAATGCTAAATGGTTGATTTTTTTGCCATGTAATCAAGGATACAGAACTCAGGTAGAGCTTCTTACCTCCCTAATTGTCATCCTACTGCGGGAAGAGGTGCATGACCTTCAGAGGGAGAAGTTATATTGGCTACTGGGACAGGAGCTGCTCTGAGAAATAGGATTCCACACTGCTCAACTTGAGTTGGGTTGGGTTGAATGAGGGCCTCTTTGTCTACAATCACTGAGACCACCATGAATTTAGGTGAGGAGGGAGAAAAAGGACTTCTTGCCCAGGGCATTCAATAGAGTTGAATTAACTTGAATGTATAAAAATATCAAGTTTAAAATGTAATAGTCCTATTTTAATATACTCTTGGTTTGCTAAGGCGAAACATAATATGTAATACTGTATTTTCAGTGGCTATAAAAGCCAACAAAACTACCATGATTTAAGTTGCTTAAAAGAAATAAAAAAAATTAGGGTTCCCATTATTATGAGAAAGGCCAAGTTTATAGGCCTTTCAAAAGTTATTAAAATAATCCAAATGTCTAGAATTGAACATAGATTTCTGTGTCTTATTTGAGGAAGGCTTGGTTTTGTTTTGTTTTTATATTCTGTAAGATCACTTTGAAATACAATTGCAAATCAGCAACAGCTAGGACTTTGACAATAATGTTTGTACTTTATTGTTTAAATTTTTTAAAATACTGTCATGTTTTGTTTAACTTCTCAAGCAAGTATGCTAGTGCAGACAATCTGGTTTCTTCCCTTTTCATGTTTTCATCGGCATACCATTGGCATATCCCATGTCATTTAATGCCTCATAATTTATCTGTTTCACTCACCACCCATCCTGTCTGTGCAGTGAGCTTCTTATGCTGCCCAGAGCAAAACGAGGACGAAGTGCAGAATGCCTACATACTACCAGGTAAATACAGGGATTTGGTCATGCTAACTGTGTGTGATGACTCTCTTTCCATTCTACTATTCTTCCGTCTTTTCCCTAGTGGTACATAACGTTATTTTCCCAAGTATTCAAAATTCGTTTCGTTTTATATGGAGGTTGTGGAAAAGCTTCCAAATATATTTTAATTCTGATTCAGGCAGTCGACTTTTCTATTTGTAGACTCAAAAATACAGAGACTGGTGAGCCTCTGCAGAACTGTTTACACATTCCTTAAACGGAGGAACCAATTTCTGCAATTAAAATCCTAAGTGCTCACTGTGCGCAGCCCCACCCCAACACACACACCTGTCTAGTCACAAGAGGTCTGATCTACTGTGCATGGCACTGTTACTGTTTTCACGATTATAAGTTTGCTTTTTCTTTTAGCCTTTTTAAATTTCCTTTTAAATAATCTACTATTGTTTATATTTTGTTTGCTGTTAATAACACCTTTACCAGTTTATTTTAATTTTATTTTTTGTGTGTAATTTTTCTATTTCTGTGATTTATGTGCACTTTGAGAAAAATTGATTGTGTTGATTGTTTACAGTTTTTAATTGCTGAGCTTCAACTTCCTTCATGATAAAGAGAGGATATCGGACTTGCTAAACAAGGAAAATAACCTTTATTTAGTATCAAGCACAGTGTTAAGTATTTAATGTACTTTATCTCAATTCCCTGACAGTAACTATGTGATATTATTATTCTCATTTACAGATAAGGAAAGATGATAAGAAAGTTTAATTTGATAAGGAACAGAGCAAGAATTCAAAAACAGGTCTATTCAACATTTTCCACTAAACTAGTTTTTCCAAAAATATGTCCTGAGAAATTAGTCGTGTGATGTTCCACTAATAAAAGTGTTTAACTCAGACAGATTTTGGAAACATTGCAAATTAAAGCCCCTCCCTGGAGATTTAATATGCACAGCACATTAAAGTCATGTACTAAAGAAATTTCTCATTGTTTAAGCCATTTTACCTTACATCATTTAACCATCAAACTCTTTTTCATAAAATATATCCTCAGAAAGTAATGCTGAGCAGAAAATACTGTGGCTGCCTGACTGTACTAGATACTTTATACCTGTTATCTCTAATTCTCACAGCGTCCCGTAGAAAAAGGCTTAACCACTTGACCTGAATTACCCAGGTTAACAGCCAATAAGTGGCAAAGCCATGGCGGTAACTTAGACCTTAATACTGTAAATTGTATGCTGTTTTCCATTCATTGTCCCATCCTATGCTGATCCCTGTTCCTGAAAAAATGACTTTTGAATCAATTGATTAGAAGTTATATAGCATCCTGTTACTAAGGATAGCTGCCTAAGGTTAGGAGTTGAAGACTATTGTCTGTAAAGAGACAGAATTGTTAGTTCCAGTAAAATTTGTCTTCAGTTTGTGCTCAAACATTGTACTCGAATACATTTTTAAACTGAAGCTTTAAGAGTTTTCCTTGGATTCAACCATTAGTATACACATGGCTAAATCAGTGGGGTGTTTGATGTGCTCAGCAAATGTTATTCCCTTCTCTATTATCATACTTTAATGTAAGCCAAAATGGACTTTCACAGTGAGCAATTTATTAAATTACCAAAAAATTAATTGATTAACAACCTAGTTTGCTCTTGGTGGTATAGATAGTTCAGAAGCCCTCACTGATTTTAAAGGAATTCAGATAAAGTTTGGCCTTGTTTTGGTCATTTTTTGCTGCATGAGATTTCATATTCTGATTTGCATCTAATGCCCATCTCACCCAGTTTCCAATTATAGATTATACCTATGGTCAGGTTTAGATCTAGAAGCTTATAATGAAATAACTTGCATCACTAGAGTAGCTTCTTGATCTTTTGCCATTTCCTTTCGTAACCTAATTGAGTACCATGATCAACCTCGTCCCTGAAACGTTGGTCAGTTATTGACTTATTAGAATATTAACTCTTAGTCATATTTTAATTCCTAGATTACATAAATTATTTGGCTAGTACTTTGAGCTACGAGTTGTTTACTTCCATGGAAGCAGGTATAATATTAAATCAATAATTACATAGTAAGTGTAAATATTGGTAATTCATATAGAGTAGTTAGCAGATTTTTTCAAATTGAAGGAATTAAATTATAATTTAAAGTTATCTTAATTATGAAGACAGATGTCTATGATTCCATATTTTAATTATTCTATTCCTACCTTCAAATAAGTATTTTGCTTATTTTGAGAAAAAAATCAACAGCAAAATATCCATCAATGTTTGTAGCTTTATAGGCCACCTACATTCTTCATATCCTAGTAAAATTTGCTTCATATATATCTTTCTGTTTCCAGCGTGTTTGTGTGGCCACGTTCCAGACATCTTGTTAGGCATTATAAAACCTTACCACCCAAGATGCCTTTATTACACAATGGTTCTCACTGGGATAGTTACAGTAAGAGCTATAACAGTGAGTCCCAGTTACAAACGAATCCTTTGCCTATTGAAGACAGCAAATGTACATTCTAATAAAGCATTAACATTTTCCTTGAAATTAATTATACACAGAGAAACATTCAATTAATGGTATCTAAAATAGTTTTAATTATAAAACATGAATTCTAGATTCCTCTAAATGAAGTCCTACTCAAATGTCAGAATTCTAGTTGTCTTCTTTGTCATTTATTTCTTGTTTTACCTGTTGATTTTAGTTATAACAATTAATTTCATATTATTTTATTTTTGGATGATTTTAATTTGTGAAGCTCAGTTCTGCCTGCACATACTCAAACCAAATCAGTGATTAGACAGGTCTTTCCCCTTCATCGTTTCTGTTTTAACGCAAAAGTATTGAGATTTACTGATGAAATATTGGTTAGGTAAGAACATGTGGAAGACTTACCTTCCACTTCCCTTGTCTAGTGTTGTGAACCAAAATAGCTGAGTTGTAAAATTTTTCTCCTCTGATGTCCTTCATTTTGTTTTGGTGTGGCATCTGTTCTTGGTAATGAAGTTTTAGGCATTTTGTTGTAGTGCTTTTTGTATCCAGTTGTTTTTTTTTTGTGTGTGTGTGTGTGTTTTTTCATAAGCAGGTGTGATTTGGTTTCATTTTTCAGTCTGAGACCCTTTTTAAAAAAATTATGCAAAGCAATTCAAGCATAATCTTTGTTTAGTTTCATTTTCTAAACAAAATTTTGCACCGTCATCCTGTCAGCTCTTTCACACCCTTGTGAACTGAATCATGGTGATTCTACATTTTATGTAAAGGGGACATTATTTTATGCTTTACTCTCTAACATGGTCTTCCTTTCTTTGTTTTCTTTGTCTTTCTCTTCTACCATTGGATGCAATGCACTGGCACTAGTGAACTGCAGCCCTCCCTTGACAGGGCTAGGAGTGCTAGTACCAACTGCTTGAGACCAGATACTAGTTTGCATTCACCAGAACGAGAAAGGTATAAAATGAAGACTTTCTTAATTTTCTATCATTTGTACTAGTGATTTTTTTTCTAATCACTTTGTTTTGTTTCATGTGAGTCTTGCAGGTTTATTCATTCATGTTCACTTTGCTAATTGTCTACATGTTTCCCTCCCTTATTGTACACGTCTGTGGAGAGATATGTGTATGTGGATAAACACAAGGGCCCATATACACATATTTCCATGAATGTCGTTGCAAATGGTGTGGCGTAATTTGGAGCTGCTTCTGGCTGCCGCTTGTCCCCTTCTGTTGCTGTTTAGTTGTTTTATTTGCATAAGACTCAGGGAGCCTTCAGTATGCTGATAATGTGATAAGGTCCATGAGTTATCTGAAGGGGAGGATCATTTTTCTATTAGTCCAACTGATAAATAGTATTTATAGGTTCAACAACAATCTTCTGTAACCTAAAAATAAGAAACCTATTTAGATAGAATCCTTCCCCTGTGCATCTATGTTCACTTTTTAGCCAATCTGCTCTTTGATGTAGAACAAGTTTTGCATTAAATTATATTTTAATAACAAAAAATGGTATGTTTACCATAGATTTCCTGATTTCTTAAAAAATATATACATAAATATATATGTATGCATATGTAAACACACAATTTTGCTTGAAACTTTTAATTGATGAGTAAATGATTCTAATTTTAAATTAGATGTATTCAGTGATTGTTACACTGCATCCTAATTGTGAGCAGCTAATATTTCCATTATGATGGAACTTTCTGTTCCAGTAAACTTGGTTGTAATTGATAGTCTTGGTTATACTTGTTACCTGTTTTCAATTAGAAGTTACCCAGTGGAAATTTGCATACTAAGTCTACAAATCTTGCAGAAAAAATATTTAGTCATGCTAATGTAACACCCTTCTTCTTCAGAGACTGCTTAAAGCTTTTTTTTAGCAATATAACTGGTCTTATTCTATTCACGTATTTATCATATGTTTATTTATACAATGGAATGATAGGTACAAGTTACATACTCATTTTTTAGTGTCCTCATAAGATTCTTTATATTTGTAAAATTTGTAATATGAAAAATAAAATTAACTATATTTTGTATTTTTTTACATTTGTAGTAGAATTTTAGTTGAAATAACTATATACTGACTCTTCAAAAAGCACAATAAATAGTATTTTATTTTATTTTGTTACAGATTAACTCCAAAAATAAATACAATAGTAGTGAGGAAAAAATTTTTTAGTTCTTATTACTTCCTTATATGTTTTGAAACATATAAGGAAGTTATATGTTTAGTACTAAACAAGGGCATAAATAGCTTAAGTCAGTGGACTCTTCTGACTATAACACCACTCTAACATTTTTGATACCATCTATGTCAGTGTTATCTAATAGAAATATAATACAAACCACATGTGTAATTTAAAATTCTCTAATTGCCTTATTGAGATTATTTAAAATTAAATTATTTTAATGCTTCAATTAACCCAGTATATCTGAAATATTATCATTTTAACATGTACTCAATTAAACACCATTCGTGAGATATTTTGCATTTCTTTTTTATTTTTTTTACAATAGCCACATGTGGTTTGTGGCTGCCATATTGGACAGCACAAGTCTGTTTTCGCACTGAAGATTATCTGGCATGTGTTCCCTTGTGACACTGAAGCCACAGAGTTCACAAATCAGTCTCTCAGATAATACCCTTGAAACAGCTCAACCTGTAGAAAAATAATCTGGCCCAGGTAACAGGGTCAGGTCATCATGAAGGTCAAGTCATCATGAAGTCTAAGTGAGAATACTTACATTTGGTAGAAAAACAAAAATGTGATTGAAAACCTGTATTCATTCTATACATCAAATAAAAATAAATTTGTTATTAAAAAATGAAAGGGGGCAGGGAGTGATATTATCAATGATTTTTAATTTATTTGGGTTACTTTGTTGCCAAGAAGGAAATAAAGTGAGATGTTTTCATAAAGAAAATCATAGAAGTTATAGATGCTTATTGGTTTGAAGGATATGGACCTCAAGTGCCCTTTTGTGCCCACACCTATAAGCAGATTTGAAGCAGTACATAACAATATCAGCAGTGGTGACATTTTTCTCTTTGGAAAATGTACCTAAAGTCCCCAGACAGGATGTGCAGAGAGTATGAACAGGGAGGCTTAGACTCTAAGCCTTAGAGCAGCGGTTCTCAACCTGTGGGTCGCAACCCCTTTGGCGGTCGAACGACCCTTTCGCAGGGGTCGCCTAAGACCATCTGCATATCAGATATTTACATTACGATTCATAACAGTAGCAACATTACAGTTATGAAGTAGCAACGAAAATAATTTTATGGTTGGTTCACACCATGAGGAACTGTATTTAAAGGGCCAGAGGTTGAGAACCACTGCTAGAGGGTTCTCCAGGTTACTTAATTTCTCTGATTGAACAGAAAGTTTCTTATGTCAATGTCTAATATATGCATAGTGGATAAAATGTTAGAGAAAATATGTTTAAAACCTAATTTCATATTCTTAAAATAACATATTTCCATAACCTTGTGAACTATTAAGTTAAACACTTTGCTGATCTGACTTTAAGCCATTTTGATGAATATTTATACACTGTTATACCAACTTAATACTCTTTTTGAAGTGTCCTCACTAACTTTGAAGACAAATGAAGTTTTGTGTTAATACAAAGGATGAAATTGTCAAATCAGACTTAATGCCCAACAGCATACTTCGCTAATGATTCAAAGTGAAGGGACACCAGGCACAGTTGGCATATTCTTTTTCTGAAGGAGTCCAAAACCTTCAGATCCACCTTTGCTCCCCTGTTAGGTTGGTGTGGCCCAGGTTAACAGATGCATTTCGAATAATGCATGTAGAAGCACTGTTTCCGTTTTTGAATGCCTCCATTTTATATTCTGTTGAGTACACAAATAACAAAATTACTGTGGATTATTCCATTCCCCAATTCAGTCATGACCCATAAATCAAGAAATGTTGAGTTTATTTACCATAAAAGATCTAGAAAGACTAGTTATATCCTACTGAAGACTTATAATAAGTAAGGACACTCCTTTATATTTTCACTAGCAAATAACACTGCATGTTTACAAGGTCTTGTCCCTAGTCTTCCCTTTTATCTTTATCAAGGTCTGTCTGAGGTCATTCATTCTCCCTTTTTCCCTGATTGGGAAGGAGTAAGTTACTGATGTGTATTAACCTTTCCCAGGTTTTGAAACAAATCACTGCTTAAGTGTCCAGGGATACTGATTTTTAGAGTCCCCGGAGAACAGTTACATTTCTCAGATATTTCATTTTCTTCCTTGATTTTTCATAAAAACCATAGCCTTACTGAAGGCTCATCAAAGGGTAGTCTATATTTACTACCTCCCTTTTTTACCTCCCAGTAATCCTGCAGTCTGACTCCTGTCCCTTCCCCTTCAGCCAGTGTGCTGAAATTCCTCTCTAGATTACATCTGCTTAGTTGTCCAGCAGCATCTTGCAGCATTTTACATTACCACCCTGTCATTTGAACCTCTCCTCTCATTAAGCACCCTCTACAGATTTTCGTATGCCTCTGTTTTAACAGTCTACTTTTGCAAGTATCTCCTCCTCTCCTATCTTATAAAGTTATGTATTTTTTTAGCTCCATCCTCAGTTTTTCTCTTTTGCCCCAGTAATTCTGTCCTTGATGTTATATTTCTATTAAAAGTTTCCACTCCAGTGCATATGAAGATAATACTCCACTGCCATTGGCCAGGCCAGCCCTTCCCCCTGAGTATTAGGCCTAAATTGATAAAGGGTTGCCCGACCCTGTGTATGCCAAAGTTTAAATCAAATTCCTTATCTCCCCTTACATTTTTTCATAGAAAAATGTTAACTCTTTCTAAAATTTTCTCACATCTGATAGTCTTGACTTGTCACCAGCCACAGAATCTGGAAATACTTCTCCTGCTCCTCATTCGCATCAAAGTCATTGAATTCTACCAATTCCCTTGAAAATACTCAAAACAGAACTTCACTTAGATCATATTACAGCCCATCTCCAGTTCCACTGTCACTCTTGATCCCATTAAATTTCCTCCTAAGCTCTATTAATAATTTGTATTAATTTTTTCTCACTAGTTTTATTTCCATTAAAATTAAAATGCCCCATTTCCTTTGTTATCCACTTAAAAATTCCACTCATTCTTCACAAATGCAAGTCAAATAACCAAATATTTTATAAAACCTTTATTAACACTATACCTCCCCCTGGACTAAAATGAATCATGGGAATCATTTGTTCAGATTTGGTTTCTAATATCATAATAGTTCACAAATATTTCGTTTGTGCTATTTATGAAATGAATGATTCATATTTTCATGTAATTTCTCTTTTAGATAGTGAAGTTGCTTGGCCATGTTCTGCCAAGATATATGCACTGTTGAAAGATGTGTACATATGAAAGTGTGTATATTAACTACACACTTAAATGCATACACATTTGTTTTAAGGTATATCAGTGGTGGAGAAAAAGCCACAATATGAGAACCATTTAATTGCCTGTCAATTCTAATTCTTTTATATCTCATCAGTGGGTCCCCTCTCTACTATTTATTTCTTAGATTATTTCTTACCTGTATTACCACAAAACCTAGAGCCTTATCTCCTTATTATCTACTTAAATATTTATAAATACTTATTGATTACATATTCTGTGCTATGCATAATTGATGAAAGCACAACACAACACTATACTGCCTTATGCAAGGAGCTCACAGCCTTTTAATTCAGTCCCATAGACATCAAGGTAACCTTTTTTTATTTTGGGTCCAGTGAAAAGGATGGGCTCCCAACAAGGTAGATGTTCATGAATTAATGAATTTCAATGCCTGATATTAAAGTACTAATAATGTAACTTATAGGCAAGCTGTTTTGGGAAAGAGAAATCGAGAAGAGGTGGTTTAGTTCAACTTCATGATTAATAACTACAACATAGCCTGCCATGTTTGAAGCTGTGTGTATGGCTCAATTACAGGGGACAAAGATTTTGATTTTGGTCCTTTCCTTTAGTGTAATAGAAGGAAAGGATAAGGAAGTTGCATATATTTTAAAAGCATATAAAACATTCTAGCCTATTTGCAGCTCACAAATGTAAGATACTAAAATGTATGTAATATCTATTATTTGGGGGGAAATTAGGTATAAATTGATTCAACTCCCTTGATATAAAATATATAAGGGAAAAGCAAAGATAATTCTTATATTGGTACTACTATCAGCATATTCAGAAGGACTTTGAGTGTACAAATATACATGAAGTATGATGAATATTTCTTCAAAAAATTACCTGTTAATGGCTTGCATTCACAATTGCTTGTTTCTAAGTGTACACCTTTTTCCTTCATAGCTTTCACTGCATGTTCAATAATTACAGCATTTTTCTTTACTTTTGTGTTCGAAAAAAACAACACAGGGACTGGAATTTTGCCTCAGGAAGCAAGGTTATTCATAATCCTATTGAATTAATATTCATTATTACTTTACAAGAATACATAACTCTATTTTTGTGTTTTCAATAATACCATAAGTTTTAACACAACTGAATACATCAATGTAGAAACACTACAGTTGTAATTGTTTTTACTTATTTGAGAAATATTTTTTCTTTTTTGTATTTGGAGAAAGCCAGTAAAGTAAAAAGATACATTTTAAAGCATTCATATTGGATTGACCAATTATTTAAATAATTATGTAATTTAAAATTAATGTCAAATGTTTTTAATGTTACAAACATATAACACATTTAAGAATGCATGCTACACAGTTTTCCCTTCTGTCCAAATTCTGCTGTTTAATATCTTTATTTGCTTCACAGCTTCCTCAAAGCCCTGCTTGAGTCAGGCCGAGTCTGTCTACCTAGAGCTGATGGATTAGGCACAGGCTTCCAAGGGGCTTTCCGAATTAAATACCTGCTCACCTCAGATATCCTGATCACATGTTAGCAGCCCTTTGCTGATTTTGTCCAAATTGTCTAATACACCCAATTAGCCAAGTTATTAAAAAAAAAAGGCTGGATTTCTTTTTGAAACATTAGGGCTAGTCTACTTTGGATAATTAAAAAATCCTACAGCTAGATGAGTTCTTAAAGATCATTTCGTTATCCCTTGTTGCATATGAGGAAGCCAATATATGGAGAAATTATCCTATTCCATATGTTTATATCTGATACACAAAATTTTCCAAATCGGGCCTGTTCAGTCCCTGATTGCCACTTTTAAGTTTTTGACCAGTGGCTTCTAATTTGTGGTTATACACAGGCAGAATATCAAAATAGTTTAACAAAGGAATGAACCAAGTTTCAAATACTTGTCTATATGCTAATCACAAAAAAGTGTATTATTATAAATGCTGAAATTAAAAAAAGACAACTGTTTAACCAATGGAGAACTACTTTTGCAAGTAAAGATTACACTTTTTATTAAAGGTAATGCTATTTTAGGATGGTGCCTATCTGTATTTCTCGTTTTTATTCATCAGTAATTTTTAAATTTCATAATTTTTAAATTTCAATAATTAGTACTGAAGTTTCCCCCAAGAAAAGTTGTTAAGACTTCACTGCTAGCATCCACACAAATGATTTCTTCATGCCATTGATTACACACTAGAGAACATTTTGATTTCTTCCACTTAAACTGTTTCTACTTTGTATTAAATCTATACACCTCACCTTTGCCACTTGATCCAGTAATCTCAAGGCGTAGTATCAAATAGGCACGGGGGGCTTATTAAACCTGTTTTATTCAAACATAAGGCAGATACTTAAAGATGCATCTTTTTAAAATCTAAAGTTACATACATATGTATGTGTGTATAGATAGGTATAAAAACACAAGTACATTTTAAAAGGACAAAATTACATTCAATAGATTTCAAATACCTTCACAAATAAATTGTTTTTTTATTCACTTAAAAGTTTTCAGATCTTATTTTCTTATTATATTGCAATTTGTCTTTCCAAGGTTTGTAAAGGTGAAGAATAAATTGTGGAGCAAAGAATCTACACTTTGCCTTTTTGGGGTGCTTTTCCAGTCCTACTGTTCCATATGTTCTTTTATTTTAGGAGTTACTAAATGTCCTGTTTTTTCCTGTCTTGTTCATTGGGCAAACAGGGGTAGATGGTCCCCCTCCCTAGATAGGAGACGACCTCCTAGTCCCAGGATTCAAATCCAGCATGCTTCTCCGGAGAATGACAGGTACTAGTCACCTCCTCCTCACAGACAAGTGGCTTCAAAAGGCTAGTCGGCCACAAAGTGAAGGATAACCAAGAGCAGTGTTGGTTATGACATGCTTCCTTTCAGGGGCAAGAGCCAGATGTGCTGTGATTCCATCAATAAATGCATCCAGCTTTAATAAAGCACCTCAGAATTAGTGCAATGAGGGTAGCATGCCCTGAAATGAATGTCAGTGTGCAAACACACAAAGTTGATTCCAGTGGAAGAGTTCTGTTTTAAGGATGAACATTTATTTCGTAGTTTTTGATTTCTAAAAACATATTAACTATTGTTTTGTTTACATGTAAATAAATAAAAATTCTCAGGTGCTTTAAAATATGTTAAAAATCTGTCCGGACCTATTCTTTGTTATATTGGTTGATGGTGTAGTCTCGGTTGTCTTGTTTTGTTACTACATAAGCTTGTTGTTAATAAAATACAGGCTTTGGGGTATACTTAAAAATATCTGATTTAGAGTGGAACACCTCGTTCTTATATATAATATTGTGTTTTTACACCAAATACTGCAAGGGCTGGGGTCAGTCCACAAAGAAGTTTTTTTAAAAATAGCATCCGTGCTTTGAATCCACTTTATTCTGATATATCATAAGTGCTGCGATATATAGTTTTTATTGGTTTGTTATCCTCAATTGTAGTTAACTCAGTTCTCTTGTTTTATGGTCTTTGTTATATTTTAATATAGTTATTATCTTTAGATATCTTTCCTGACTAAGTCACAAAGGGTTATTGGGTGTTTTGCATGCTTCTCTTTTGGTGTAAGCAGAAATTCAGTTAACACGTTGGTGATTTTTATTAAGTAGATAGTATATATGGTATCTCAGAATTAGAACAACTAGTCATGTCAGTGTACCAATTTCTTTTTTTTAAGTATGTGTGTATAGAGCAGAGTAATTGTGATCTTATTTAAGAGTAATATCATTTATTTTCTGTATCCATAGTCCATATATATTCAGGATTTCAACTTGAAAGAAACATTAAACACTGTCAGAACAAATTAATAAGTCATTTTACAAATGTTGGAAAAGATCACAAACTGCTATTTTATGAAGGCTTTCGAGATATTTTATCATTTCTTACTATTGCTTATATTTATATATTTTGTATTTAAAAGTTATTTCTTCTGCTGCTATCTGATTTATAGGATAAAATTTCTGGGACTAGAAAAATTAGTGAAATCTTTCTTTTAAAAATATTAAAAATTTAGTCTTTCAAATAAGAATATAAAATAATTGTATAAATCAAATAAAAATTTATATCCACATTGCTACTCACTCATTTAACAAATACTCAATGTGCCTCTACTGTGTGCACTATTCTAATGGCTAAAGCCACAACAGTGTTAAAAGCCAAGGTCCTGGCCATCAAGGAACTTGCAATTTCATTTTATAAAAAGTCATCTAGAAACTTACAATTTTATTTTTTAAAAAGCAATTCTGGGAAGCCTTTTAATTATTCCAAAACAAGTGAGTCAGAGGATTTAATCTTATATAATAATCACTGTTTGAGTACAGGACAATTAAATATGATAGTTTTTGTAATGAACATAAATGTAAGTTATCTGGGCCTTGTTTGAGCAAAATGGAAATCCAAATAATAGTTTTTAGTTCTTACATACATGAAAATTAGTTATCATTTAAAGACATGTGAATTATCAATCATGTTATTTATTTCATAGATTGCATATATAACTTTAAGGATAGATTTTAGGTTCAGAAATATCCCTTTTAGATAAGATTATAAAGGAAATTCTTACTAAAACATAATTATGAATATATACTTTACACTTTTATTATGACTTTTTTATGGATAAATTCTTTGTTCAACCAAAAGTATATTTCAAATACCTTGATATTATTATTTATTACTGTAGGGAACAGAAAATTATTTGCAATAAGTTTTTATTATAGAATTCATGTGACCATAAAAATGAGAAATTATTTCATCAACAAATGCTAAATTATGAGGTTAACTATGTCAACCACTTGGAAAAACTTAACACTTGCATTTCACCTCTTATCAGTTTATTTACTCATTCAGAAGTTTCTACCATTTTGCAAATGAACATGGCATCATATTTGAAGATAGTGAATATAGATAAGATGACTTTTGTCCTGGGTAGCTGGAAAATATTCTAAAATCAGTGACAACTCATATAATCAGTCTTTGGATATCCTGGATTGGGGCCATTATTGACAATTTTGAAAATAATAGATAATTTTTAAAAGTAAACTTTTGCTTAAGAGAGTTTTCTAGTAAATTGGAAAGCATTTAGTTGACCTCTTATTTCTCATCGTATGCAGACACTCACAATTTGTAATTTCTCAGTAATTGAATTTCACCAGTAACCAATCTTGATATCATCTGAAGTTGTTCAATAAATTTGTTTTGAACTAACAGGGAAGTATTTTTATCTAAATATGGGAATAATTTCTTAAAGTTGTAGAATACTTACAATAATAATGAGAAAAAAATAGAAATTTGTAGCCTCAGGGTATGTTCTGACTTTAAAAATGTAGTGAAAATTTTCTTGCAGCTTTGTTACTAAAAATGTTGAGACTTTTAAGAATATCATTCCAATAACAAAGTATCTCTTTGTAAATGACATTATTTTAATATATGAGTTGTAACTTCTGTCAACCTGAATGTAAATAACTTTATGAATCATAATAAAATGTCAGTATACTTGTGGCTTCGGATTAACCACAATTTATGAGTAGCAAGTTAGAAAAAATGTATTTTAATACATTTAAAATTAAATGTCTTGAATGATAAAAAAGATAAATGATATTAAATGATAAAAAAAATTTAATAGAACAAAAGCATGATAAAACTCAAAATAAGAAAATATGATGGAAACAGTATAACTCTGTTTCATTCACTTCTGTTCAGGGATTCCTTCAGTAAACATTAAATAATTCAAAGTCGCTGGATGGTAGAGTGGGCAGAGAACCTAAGAACATGGGGATATGATGGTAGTGTCCTCACCAACTAATTACCTTAGGTAGTCACTTAAACTTTCTAGGGCTTAGTTTTCTCTTCTGTAAACTTAGATACTTGTAGAGGGACTCGCTGAAGTCTAATTGAGACACTAGCTAGACTCTAAAATTGATTCTGTGTTCCTTATTGAATCATGAGAAACATACATTGGTCCAGTAATAATGGCCGACACTTCATTATGCATAAGGCAGTAACCAGAGAGCAGTTCTTATTTGTGGTATTTTATAATACACTGAAGCTCAGTAAACAGTGCAGAGTTTTATTTCTAAATTTATTTGATGTAAACTGAGTTTTATAGCCCTAGTTAGGGTGTTTTTTTTAACTTATTTTAACTTTTTAGACTCTCAAATTCTAGTATAGTACTCAAAATATTACTGTTTTTAACCATCCACTCAACAAATAGTTGTTTAACAGCTACTATGTGCTCGGTATTGATGTTACAATAATAACCAGACACAGTTCCTAACCACAAGGAACTTAGAAGGACTAGTTTAAGGTAGGAGGTAGTTTATTTCACTGTGATGTATTTTATGATTACATGAATAGTTTCAATACTATAATACATAAATATAGGTGGATTTTTTTTCTAACCTTTCCTCATTTACATAGCACAAGCTTTTATTTATCTCTAGAAAGAGCTGTATTTCAAGCATACAATTTATTCTCCGCTATAACTTAGGATTCAGGGTAGAAAATACATTAGAATTTTTAAATTTTTTTCTCTATTCTCACTTTTTACTGAATTATCACAATTAAGTGTATATCATTTTCACTCAATTTGAAGATTCTTCCAAGTAGTTAGAAGAATTATAAAGACATATCCTTAGTAGAAAATTTTAGAAGAATATTCAATAAAATAAGTTTCTATAGCATTTGCAGATTTTTTAAAAAGGACAAGAAGGTTAAAAACGAAAACAATTAAAAAGTTAGATGTATGAACTTATGTATGAATATTTATCACCCAGTTATGAAGCATTGACTTTGATTTAATATGTTTAAAGCACTTACTCCTTGCTGTTCTAAGCAGTGCTATCACTACCACAAATCCTTGTTCTACATCATAGTATGAAACTATCATTACTGAAATACAAATACCACAGAATATTGATACGTTTAAAATTAGCAAACCTGTGAGGTGGTAGTATTAATATTGTCACTTTGCAGTAGGAGAAAACAGTAATAGAGAGGTTTAAGTAACTTGACTAAAATTACCCTTCTAGACAGAGATAGCACTGAGATTAAACTGAGACAGTCTGACCCAGTATCAAAGCTTTTAGTTACTACGTTCCAGTGTTGTTTATGTCACAGATGAAATGTGCTCACTGATAGTATTATTACGGACCCAGTTCATTTCATGGTTTGACATGTAATAGCTATGTGGGTTAGAGCAAATTATTTAACCTGTCTCAGCCTCAATCTCCTATTCTTAAAAAATAAGATAAAAGAGTAGTACCTGTCTGGCTGGATTGGTGTGATTAGATGAGACAATGCAGGTACACTGATCATGCTAACATGCAGCAAGTGTTAGATATTAGAGCCATCATCATCGTTGCCATCAGCATCATCAATTCCTGTGATGATCAATCTAATATATAAATCATTAAGTTTTAGGAGATGAGAAGAGGAAGAGTTAAGAGTTTAACAGAGGAAGTATACTCTCACTGAGTCTAGAAAGATTCATAGAAATTACTAGGTGTGGGAGGAAAAGCAGACAAGTTCTAAAATATGCCTGTAAGTGTTTTGTTGGGCAATGTTAGAAAGTTTGTACAAAGGCTACCAGATTCTCTGCATCCCTAGCTCCCCACACCCCAGACTATTGTCATCTGATGCTCCTCTTTTAACACTTTCCTTTCTGGTCTCCTTACTGTGGCTTGAACATACCAGGCACACAGCTTACTTTGGGCCTGTGTACTCGATGCTACCTTTGCCTGGGACATGTTTTCCCTGGATATATACATGGCTAACTCCCTCACCTTATGTCTTTGTTAAAAATGCCGCCAACTCAGTGAGTCCTTCCCTGAGCACCCTACTTACTAGTAAAGTTGTGATTTGCAGCTGCCCCCACTCACTTCCCACACACATTTCTGACCCTTCTGGCCCTGGTTCACTTTTTGTTGCTTTAGCATGTATCATCTTCGAACAGACTATATAGATTACTAGTTTGAGGGGTTTTGTTGTTGTTGCTTACTTGTCTTCTACCAATAAAATGCGAGTTGGAAGAAATGAGCAGGCCCAGAGGTCTCTGCACCCTGTGAAGGCAGACTTTGTACTTTGATATGTGTCCCTAGTGCCTAACAGGGTTTGGCATAATATATATTTAACACTAAGGATATCTGGCATTAATAAGTAAGCAGAGTAAAGGGAAGAGAGTAGATATTAAAAGTTCTCTTCACAGGAAAAAAATTGTAACTTTGTGTGTTGAGTGGACCTATTGTGATCATTTTGCAATATATGCAAATATCAAATCAGTTGTACACCTAAGCTAATATAATGTTATATGTCAATATATCTTTAAAAAAGACAAACAGTTGCCTCCTTCACATTGTTGAAAGGAAGGAATATTGGGAAAGAAAAATAAGCATAAATCATAGGCAATCAGTGATTGAGAAAAAATACACTTTTATTTAATGGTTTCTTTTTTCTTTTTTTTTGTATGTGAGTTTCTTCACCATGATATTTTATATTTATTTCAAATATATTGCAGTCCAGACACATTTTAGGTTAAGTAGGCATATGTAAGCTGCCTTAGGGAGATAAGCTTTATAATATAAACATTATTTCTTTGGGAAAATGCATTTAGAGTCCCAGATGTTCAGTGTACATATGTACTTTTGGGTCATGGAGTAAATTGGGAACATTATTAGTTGTTTGATTTGTGATGTGATTGGCTTTTTAAAATGCTATATAATTGCAAAAAAGCTATATATAATTGCAAAGGCATCTTTATGATCATTTTAATAGTTAATTTAAAATACTCTTACTTATGTCAGACGTTTCACTATAGCATTTTTTCTCTTCATAATTCTGTGGGAGAGAAAAAACAAAGGAAACATCTTTGTAACACCAAGTTTCAACTTGTAAAATGAAGTCACTTCACCCCTTTCTGGTCTTTTAGCATTTAACCATTGCTGTCATCACATCTGTCATCACTGCATCCACCATTGGATTTGTTTACTCATTAGGAGAGGCACAGTTGCTCAGCAGGAGTCCCTGTTAAGTCATTACTGTTGACTTGCCCATCTAGACTGATGGAATGTCAGCTTGTTGTCTCCTGTTGGACAATTTGTGTCTTTCACACAGCACAAGTTCTGGTTTTTATTTTATTTTAAAAAGTACTGACTGACAAAACCATTAGGTAAGATGGTTGCCATTTTTCATGCCTGTTGCTTTTATCATTGTATGATATTACCGCAGCTTTATTCATCATATATTTTGTATTTCTTTAACACTTCATTCCACAGGCACTCCAGAAAATCTGAAAGATCTAGCATCCAAAAACAGACTAGGAAAGGCATTGCTTCTGATGCAGAAAGGTAGGCTCGGTGTTGTGCTGTGCAGCCATCTTCTGTTTTACTAATACATTCAGGGTGCCTTCACTCGGATTTTATATGATCAGATCAGCTCTTATACACAGATGGTGATAGTGAAAGACATTCGTGTAAATAAATCACCTATGGGAATAGTGTCATAAAAAAAAAACAAGAGTGACTTGAAGGCAGCCCTTATATCTTAGGGATCAAGGAAAATCTCATGTATAAATTTTAGTGATTATTCTGATTTTTAAAGAGAATTAAATGCATAGTTATTTCTGTATACATATTAGGACATTCATATTTTGTTTCTGAGATTATTGAAATGTTAACAATGAATATAGTACCTAAATATGCAAATTTTTTGAGTATCTGTTATTTACCTGAATAATGCCTTTTAAAAATTGGTTTCCTACAAATGGATAATCTAAGATTATACTTGTATATTACAACCAAAGATATTTGTTGAGTTAACTTAGAAATTATAAGGATTGTTGATCTTTCATTTGTGTAATTCCTCTAATTCTGCAAATTTTTTGAATATTTTGAGTGCAAGGTATTTGTTCACATTTTACATAGTTGTAAGAAACACCAAAAATCCAATTAACATATTTATTCATCCAACTATTATTGAAAATATGGAGGGTGAGATAGATGTGAATGAATAAGCATATTCAAGTATCATAAAAATATGCACTATTTACAGTGAGAACACAGGGAAAAGAGTGGGGTGCTGATGAGTTAGGAAATATTTTATAAACAGGTGTCACTTTAGTTAAATCCAGATATATAAAAGTAGATGTGAAGAGTAGAATATTGCATGAGAAGGGAACAATATGAGAAAGCACTGAGGCTTGAAATATCCATATCTATATATATATATATATATATATATACTGATTTCAGAGAGGAAGGGAGAAATAGAAACATCAATGATGAGAGAGAATCATTGATTGGCTGCCTCTTGGACATCCCCTACTGGGGATCGAGCCCACAGCTCAGGCATGTGCCCTTGACCAGAATCGAACCTGGAACCCTTCAGTCTGCAGGCCAACGCTCTGTCCACTGAGCCAAACCGACTAGGGCTGAAATATCCTCTTAAGTTTGAGGAAACCATACCCATTTGGGAAGGGAGAATAGGATACAGGAGATGGGAAAGATGTCTGAAAATAAAACTGGAGAAATCCTTAAAGATTATCTTATGGATGCCCTTGTGGGCCATGCTACAGAGTTTTACTTTCTGTTTTATTCCATGATCCATTAATGGATGTGCTTTCAACCTGGAGGTACATGATTCATTTTAAGTTTGATCATTTTGACAGCATTTTGGAAGGCAGATTGAAAGTTCTGAAGGTAGATGCAAGACACCAGTGAGGCTGTTAAAATAGTTTTGGTTGAGATAGAATCGGTGTAACACATTCAGTCAACTAAAAAACATGTGCCAAACTATTGTGCTAAGTTCATGGAGTAAAATAGTGAGCATGGATAAAGGAAGGTTTTCCAGAGGATATTTACCTCTGAGCTGGGGTCTGAAACATGAGTAGGTATTAGTCACATCAAGGGAGATGGGAAGGGGAGATGGAATTTATTACTGGCTAATGGTCTTTGGGGATATTAACTATTGAGAGAACTTAGAATGGAGAAAGGATCTGGGAAACTCAAAAAAGTGTTGAGTTGGAATTCTGTTTTACAAAGGAATTGGACTTTGAGCAAGGAAGAGAAGTACAGAATTTTAGTATTTTAGATAGATCAGATAGATAGATAGGTAAATATAGATAGATGAAATAAAACTAATTACGTTTCTATTTATATATTCTTTAGTGTCAACTCAGCTAACTGCAATCTCTTTACTAGCACTGTAAACACCTTAAACTTACTAAGTTTTTAATCTTCAACCATTATTTATAACCTCGCTGTCTCATGCACACACAATTTCAATTATTTTGACAAGACTGAAAAATTTCCTCAATTTATCCTTTTCATTTCATTCATGCTTATTTATTTTGTATGTATTTAGGATGTATCAATGAACAAGTTTTTTTTGTTTACAATAAGATACTGTTTTGCAAAACGTTTGATTCTGGATCAACTAAAGGTGCTTAACTCCAGATGAATGATATCTGGGCCTCTCTCTGCAGCACTGAAAATATCTGTGAACACAAATCCTCCCCTCAGTGAGAATAGCAGGATTTAATTGACTCCCAATCTCAGATATTTGCTGCTTAAGGACCATATTCATATTGCTCTTGCCTTTACTTACTTTGCCTGTAGGTTTTTGCTTGTTTGTTTTTGTGTGTGTGCCTCAGGCATGAAACAGCCCTGGCCACCGACACAGGCATCAAGCTAGGATGAACTAAGGGCTGTACATCTGCTTTGCCCCTGATTGATATAAGAGCAACACCACCAATCAGGTGTCTCCTTGCCCATTGCCAGGGGGTTGCCTGTAGGTTTTAATAAAGAAAACCCAAACCTTTCAGGTGTGTAAATTTGTTTGATTATAATAACAGCTCCTTATTGATTTTTATGGGAGTGTAAATTACATACCTAGTTTTGAAGTGAATTGTTGAATAGCTAGCTAACAAAAGAAGAATTGTTTTGGATTTTCAAAGTTTGTTCTCATTTTATTTCATTAGAAGATACCTTGAGTTGACATCTAACTATAGGTGAATTGAGGTCACAGTATGAATGCTGGGTATGCTGATTTTTTGCCTTTGGAAATTAATGACTTCCCCAAAGGAGTCATACCACACAGTCATGCCTTAGCTTCTGGAACAATTTGCTGAGTAAGGATTATAATTTTGGAGGTCCTTTGTTGGCCTAAATAAACTGGGCCTTATGAGGAACAGCCTTGTGAGAAAATATCTTGAAAGATATGTTGATCATTTGCATATAGAACACAGGCAGAACAGACCTCTGACTTTTGTGCCTAGCTGTTTCAAACAGTGCTTCAGATTCTTTGGGGAAATGCCTCGGTAAAAGTCTGACTTTTCACCCTCATGTGAATTCTACCCAGTGAACTACTAGCACCATTCCTGCACCCTATGCTAGTGGCCTCTTCTTGTGGGACCTACACTCCATCCTAACGGAGAGATGTTTCGTCAGGACTAGTATTTAGAATTACTTGAGTGTGCGTTTTATGTTGTTCCGATGTTACTGGAAAGAGCTTGTTTAAGCCTGACATGGCCATTATAGGAGGAACCATTTTGAAGATTTGACCTTAAATAGCACATGCATGTTCATCCTTTAAAAAGTATTTTAAAAACACAACTCTATTGTTAAGTTGCAACAGACACAATTTATTGCAAGTCTGCTTACTGCAACAGACATGTCTGACTAGCCACCTAAGGTTTTGGTGAGAAGTGTGTTTTACTTAAGTTCAAGTCTTAAACAATAGTCTTAGGTGAAGAGTGTAGGTATGGATTGAACTCAGTAGTTGGATATGGATTTGTGGATGGTGGACTAGAGTCACACACACTGAGGTTTAGTTAGAATTTTTCTCCAGAAGACTCAATGTTTTTGTTTAAAAAATATGAGATATGTATAGACATATATAGCAGATTAGATGTTCACTCAATGCCATTTTAATATGTTTTGTTCCTTCAAACTCTCAGAAGCCAATACTATGAAATCTTACTAAAAATTTTGATACTTGGACACATATTTATATTTGTCTGACAAGATTAATAGTATGCCCAGGGGCATGAACTTTCTTTTTTTCCCCTCATAGAAGTATATTCTACCTCAATAGGCAGAAAATGGAGAAAAGTTGGAGCTCCATAGATCTGTGTGGATCTTGCCTTTACCACAATTTCTCTCTGTCTTTTTGCAAGTCACTCTATGGCCCTCAGTTTTCCCATCCATAAAATAGGGATAATAACACTTCTCAGAGCTGTTGTGATATACAAACAAAGAACATACATATGGGTGTATGTGTGCATACATATATACATATATACAACACATTCAGCCATACAAACATACATACATGTATATACATATAGCCCCAGTGCCTGGCATGTATAGATAGATGGCTTCATTTTGATGCTCAGTAAAGAAAAGTTGTCAGTATCATTCTACTTATCTCTCATTCTCTTCTGTTCCATTCTCTATTATGGTTGTTCTTCATCTCTTTCATTCTTACATTCTTAGCACATACCATTTCATTGAAAAGATAAGGCTCCACAGCCTGGATTCTCTCGAGATTTCACTCCTGTACCTCAGAATTTCTTGATTAAATCTCCTTTCCCTTTGTCTAAAACAAACTGTACTTGGGGCCGTTATCTCTCATCTCCAAAACCTTGCTCTTCTCTCTTCACGGTCTGCATTTAGCTGTCCTCAGTTTCTCTGCCTGTGATTCAGCCTCCCTGACACCCTGCTCTCTCTTCCGCAGGCAGAGTGGTTTTCTGTGCCTCCCCCTTGGTCTGTGCTTTCATATTGGTTATAGTTTGGCTGATGGCAGGGACTGTTTTGTTACTAAGAGACTTTTAGTTCCTGTCAGAGAAATGAATAGATCTGGTGAGAAATGATTAACCCGAATCAGTACAAGCTTCTGTCACTGTAAAAATAATACAAATCAGGTATGTAATTTAAGATGCATACTGCAAATGAAGAAAAAGACAAAAACCCATACCTGTATTAAATAAGCATAAATACAGGGTAGGGCAAAAGTTAAGTTTACAGTTGTGAGTGTGGGAAACAGTTTATTCTTGTATTGTTATTAATTATTGTTTTATTTTCTATATGAACAGCTGTAAACCTACTATTTCCCCACGATGTACAGTAGTCCTTACTTATCCACTGGGGATACCTTCCAAGACCCCCTGTGGATGCCTGAAACTTCAGATAGTACAGACCCTATATACACTGTTTTTGCCTATACATACATACCTATGATAAAGTTTAATTTATAAATTAGGCACAGTCAGAATTAACAATGATAAGTAATAAAACAGAACAGTAAAACAATACACAGTAATAAAAGTTATGTGAATGTAGTGTCTCTCTCTCTCTCTCTCTCTCTCTCTCTCTCTGATAACTGATTTGATAACTGAGGTGGCTACTAAGTGACTAACAGGCAGGTAACATACCTACATTGTAAATACCCTGGGCAAAGGGATGATTCACATCCCGGGTAAGATAAGGGTGGGCACCTCAGGAGATTTCATGTGCTACTCAGAATGGCATACAATTTAAAACTTATAATTATTTATTTCTGCAATTTTTCATTTAATATTTTTGGGTCACAGTTGACTGGGTAACTGAAACCATGAAAAGCAAAAGTGTGGATAAGGAGAGACTACTGTATATATAAATAACAGTTTTTAATTATTAATCCTTAACTCATAAATTGGCTTCATAATAATTTTGAATTTCATATTGAGATAACTGTCAGTTTATGGACAACTATATTTTTAGATATTTTTAGATATTAAAGGACATGATATCCCTACATCTGCCTTTTGCATTTAGTCAGTTCAGGGATGAAGCATTCTCTTATCTCATTATGTCATTTTAATTTGTTGGACTGTTTAAATTAACCTCAGAAGATGTCTTCCTATTGCTGCTTGGTATAGACTTTCCTATTGCAGAGTAAAAGTGGGCATAGACATTGTAAAAATATATACACAGAGTTCTGCAGTGTATATTTCTTCTTGAAAACAAGTGTTTAAAGTATCCCTGTGGTCATTATTCTAATCATACTGACATTTAAATAGGGTATCTTTATGAGCTCTTTCTCTTGTTCAGCTCTGTTCTAGGCCCTAGAGATACAGCTGAGTAAAAAAAAAAGAGAGAGAGAGAGGAGAGAGAGACAGACAGACAGAAGTCTCTGCCCTTATGGAACTTATAAGAACTTCATTACAGTGAAGGAATCTAGCCTTCTAAACCCACATGGTGTGCATATTTGCGATAACCTGCCAGTTTGAATTGAACTGCATTTCCTTCATTGCACAATGGGTTTCCTCCTGGGTTTTAAAAATAACTGCCGTGTAAGAGTAACCAGGTTTTCCTTGGACAGATGTGTTGGTGTCAAAGCTCATGTGAACCTGCTGCTGACTGAAGATCTTTTTTGACCCTAATGTTTTAGGGTTCTCCCACCATGTCTTTCTAGAAGGGGATACGCAGCCCCAAGAGCGACTGATCAGCCAGTCCTTAGGGGAAAGCACCCCGCTCGCTCGCGGTCGAGTGAGCACTCTAGTGTCAGAACCCTGTGTTCTGCCCACCACCTTGCCCCCGGAGGGTCGGCGCCACCTTCTCCGCTTCTGACCAGGTCGCTATTCAGTGTCCAGCCCAGCATTCATGTCCTGCCTCCGGGTGTTGGTGTGGTGTTGTACCTTCCTGAGCACTCCACGCTTTCACTCATTATGACACCATGACTTTTAGTCCTCTCTTTGTGGCACTTGAACCTCTCCCACATCCTCTCTTACTTGCATCTATCTCCACTGTGCTGGTGGTATTCTCTAGTTTCTGCCAATTAGCTATCATTGACGATTAAATTTGGCTGTGTTATGTCCTTCCATCTGTTTGTGGCATATTCATATATATATATTTTTAAGTATATAAAGTTCTTTATAAGAAATTATGTGGAATTAAATGTCTATTTGCTTTAAAAAGTATAAAAAATTTTAAAAAACACATTTTATAGGTGCTTAGTAAAAGCTTAGTTTTAAAGGTCTTAAGTGAAAAGAAAGTATGTTTCAATGCCAGCAAATGGAGGTCAGCTTACTCATGCACAGTGGTAACATATCTGTCTGCTTCTAACATTTTTATTTGTAATTCCATAACATGTGTCCAAGGTTATTTATTTTTAAATATCTTTCAAGATTTCCATATTTTAAAATAAAGTAAATGGTGATTTATAAAATGTCTGCAACTATAACTATTTTTACCACTTATAAATAATTCTCCTCGGTAAAAATGTTGATTAAATAATAGCAGTTTAGGTAACAGCCTTTCTTAACTAATGTACCCATGCTGTGAAGATTCAGAGGCTGGGATTAGATATATTTGGCTCAGCACCACCGAAAATTGATAATCTAACAGAAAGCCACAGTTTCTTGGAAAGTTCATGAAAAGAAGTGAGTCCGATTCTGCTCAGGTCGGGAATTTATTATGCAGAACTGTGTGACACACTGCCCTTCCTCTTTTAGCCCCTTTTTGTAATACTTTTACACATATCATACAAAGTATTTGAGTTTCCTTCCAAAGGCCTAGTTAGGGATTTTATGCTGTATTGATAGTGACAGGAAGAAGGAAAGGGTTTTTGTCAGGCCTTCTTGGGATTTTATCGTTTCATTTCCCCCCTTTGTGGTTTGTCCACAGGACACACAGACAAGGAAGTCCATCCCACTCTCCTCCCGCGGACACTTCCTTCAGCAGCCGGAGGGGCAGACAGCTCCCACAAGTGCCAGTGAGAAGCGGCAGTATAGAACAAGGTATTCGCTAAAGAGAGATCGTTGTCCAAAAATCTTGGATTTGAGAACTACCTCTTTTGATACATCTTTTAGTAAACAAATAGCATTTTGATTACATGTAGTTTGCTGAATCCTAAGAATTTCAGTTTCTTAGAATTTTATTCCCAGCACCAAGTTATAATGGTTCATGGTGTTGACTGTGTTTTTGCTGAGTGAGTGAATGATTGAATTTTAGATGGTCTACTGAAAGGACGGATTGAGCCCTGCAGATACCTTTTTTTACAAAGGACAAAGAAGGAAAATTAAATTTTTAAAACCTCAGTGCAATATGGTATATTGTTTTAAAAGAAGATTTATTTGACCTTGTTTTTCAAATATATCCTTGATTAAATACTTGATCACATAGAAGGCTTTACTAATGTGTTTTATTTTAAATTATTTGCAAGGTCTTGTGTTTTTGTATAAATTTGATAAGAAGTGATTTAGAATACACAGTTTAGTGTTTTGTTAACAGTTTGTGTTACTTAGAATTTCCTTTTTTTAAGAATATACACACTGTTTTATTTTCTTGGAATTGGGTGGGGGGAGTGTTTTGATAATGGAAATAAATTTCCTAAAATATCTGGGCAAGATGATTTAAATATTGGGTTAAAATAGTCACTGTGTCCTTCATGTGATCCAAGGTGCTATTCCATTTCTCAGTAGGTGAAATGATGAATTATCAGTACTGTATATGTTATCACATACCTTAACAGGGAATTGTTAAGCAGTTTCCTGGAATAATTTTTAATTTAGGGTTGTAATATAAATGCAGTAGACTTACATTTAAAACATGTATAATAATTCTTTATTTTTTTGAAACAACTGAAAGGTTAACATCTTGAATATTTTTTCAACAGTGTTTGTTGTTAGCGATGTTTACTTGTATTCCACTCTGTGTTGAGAGTGTTGGGTACCTGTTTCCTCACTTAATTGAAGTGCTCTATTGAATGAATGTATCACAGAATGTTAAAGTTCTAAAAAGATAAATGCATTGTTTCTAAGACTGATATGACAGAATTTGTAAGCAGAATACTTGGTTATAGAAAAATTAGTGTACATTTTAAGAAGTATCCACTTATTCATAGAGGAATGCCGCTATAGTAATCTCTGGATTTGTATTATTTTTTTAAAGTTGTACGTCCCATTGATATTTTATGCTTTGCTATTCAGGCTTCATATACAGGTACTTATTTAGTTCATTGGGAAAATATAAGGCTATGTGAAAAATCTGACTTTCTTTTCTAAAATAGCAATTCCCTGGAATTCTCATTCATATGTTTAATAAGCTTTCTTTTTTCTTGGGAACATTTTGAGAAGATAATTCACAATTTGTGTTATTAAGACTGTAATTAGCAATAGCAATAGCCTAGATGAAATGGATTTAAAATTTACTTTTAAAAAATAAAATTTGGTGTTTATGTAAATTATCCAGTCATGACTTCCTGTTGCACAACTAAACAAACTATGCATTCTGGTATTTAGCTGCAAACTTAGTATTACTGGCCATATCTTGCTCAAGATTAAAATCTAAAAAGTCATGTGTTCCTAAAATTCTTTGCATTTCCTCCAGTTGCTGAAACACTTTAGGTTCAAATCTAATAAGGGTACTGCTTATAACTCTCATATAGTGAGATAACAGTTATATTATTTCTGTAAAATAAGAATTGCATCTTTGAAATCATTTGGATTGTATGCTGGATTTGAGTGTTTAAAAAGCTCATGTTCTATTTAATATCAACATTACTATTTATTATATTCATATTCACAGTTGTCTTTCAGATAAATCATCAATTTGTAAGGATTGAATTGAGGTGGTAAGAAAGGGGTGACTGGGGACGAAATTGGTGGCGTTATTTTGCTATTTAACATCACAAAGACACTAGTAAACACTTATTTGAGTTTCCTGAAAATCACGGTTATATAAATTCAACCTATTAAGAATATGACAACACATGTTATATCTCAGTGTTCTTCTGTAATTGAAATAGATTTGGTTTATTTTATGATGTTAATATCTGCTTTGGGTAAATGATGTCCATCATCTTATTATTGATTTATTTCAAATTGAACAGTTCACATGATGTCTTTTTAGTATCCTAAAATATGTTTTTAAAAGTACACTTCTAATTTGACCCATGGGCTAGACAGAATTTAGCACGTTCTACTTAACATTGATTGCATTGTTGTTCTTAGGGCTACAGAATTATCTTTTTTTCTTTTGATATTATTTGTTAAACTTTAGTTCTGTCTTCTTTGAAGATTAATGCAGTTTATTTGCAATTGATTAAGGCTCTACTGTGCTTGACTTCCTTCCAGTCTTCTTTTTTTGTTTGTTTTTTAATTTTTAAGAGGGTATTTTTTCTTTTTATAAAAAAATTGAGCTGATAAGCAGTTGATTGGTAAGAGCTAATATTCCCAATGGTTTAAATTTCTGGATAGTGATAAAATTTCCTGTTAATGTTATAAATAATTTTATTAAAGCACAGTTTCTGGATACTGTTGTCTACATTGTTGTATCTAGGATTCATGCTGAGATTATTAGTTTGGGATTTTTTGTTTGTTTTGTTTTTCTATAATTCAGTTTTACTACTCTCTCTTTATACTATAACAGCAATATGTGTTATTTTAAAGGCCACCAGATTATTTGAAAAAGCATTTTTACTTAATTTTTTATAACATTGCATTTCACAGTGTTGTTTTTGATTTAGGAATGTTACATGGAATTTATGTTAAAATTTTGTTAGGGGAAAAGAAGAGGGTTGATAACAGTACAGATTTTGAGATACAGTAGCCAAAAAAATAGCCTTAAAATTTAGGCAACTCAAATGGTATTGTGATAATTGAGAACAAAGACTTCCAAGAAATTTATCTGGTTATATTTCAATGTTGTATTCCAATGTCACCCTTACATACATATTGGTTGCATAAAAGTGTTGTATGGTTTTCTGAAACCAAATGATACTTTTTTTGTTCTCAACTGGATGTCTTTTAGAGAAAATGTTTAAAGATTGTTCATGAATTAACACATGCTGTGCCACTTATATTTAATTTGTCTTGTTATTATATCTGCTACCCATAATCTAATGATATTCCTCTTTAGAAATACCTAAATAGGCTATTATTTCTCAGTAATTAGTGTACCAACATGGAGGTTGATGTAAAGCTTTATGAAATATCTAAGAAATATAGTCTCCAAAGAACAATTTCACCATGACATATTTTATTATCATTCATTTGAAAAGGAAGAAAGAATTTCTTAAATTAGATTTTTTCCATGTGGAAAATATTACAGAATATTTTTCATGATGGAAAAGAAAATGCCTACTTCTAGTAAAAAATGCAATTTTTTTGTCACTGATTATATTAAATTTCAAATTATCTGAAGTGCTATATTTTTAAATAAAATATGTTAGTTATGAATATTAAATATATTTAAATAGTTTTACAATACAAAGTCACAATATGTTAAAATGTTTTAGTAAAATTGATGCTGAAATATTTTTAATTCTTATAAAGCAAGAAAAAAATACCATAAAATATACTTTTCAAATTCCAAATGTATTAATTTTCCAGTTTCTGTTTATATTTTAAATCTCTAAAATCCTTGTATTCATTCTTTCTTTGGTTAATTTTAGAACCATACTTGAGACTTCCTCATGTTTGTCATTGTAATTTATCATGTAACGTTACATGTTATACCTTTCTATTATTCATACCATTGTGTTGATTCACATTTTCATGTCTAACTATAAATTTGCTGATTTCTTTCTTTTGTTTCCATCATTATGTGCATTTAATTCATTGAAGAACAAGAAAAATATAACTCTTCCACAAAAGGTAAATATTAATGTAACTTTTTAACCATTTAAAATTGTTCCTTTCTTTCATAATATATGAGAAAGTTTTATAAAAGTATTTATTGAAATGAGCAAAATTATTTAACAGTAGTTTTTTCCCCTGCAAGATTTTATAGGACATTTGGTATTATTTTGTATTGTGAGCAGTTCACATCAAAGAAGAAACTATTAAAATTAAGAATATTTATCTGCACTGACAACTAGAAAACCATTCTTATTTTATATGTTTCTGTTTGTTTGCCCTGCTCTATAGATAACGACTTAATTCATACTTTCTGTTCAGGGTAATATATGGTACAAAGGAATAGAAAATCCCTTGATTTTCTCTTATAGATAGCAGTAATCCTGTTGAATGTTTGGTTCCCACTGCAGTCATGCATCTAGAACAGTGATGGCGAACCTTTTGAGCTCGGCATGTCAGCATTTTGAAAAACCCTAACTTAACTCTGGTGCCGTGTCACATATAGAAATTTTTTGATATTTGCAACCATAGTAAAACAAAGATTTATATTTTTGGTATTTATTTTATATATTTAAATGCCATTTAACAAAGAAAAATCAACCAAAAAAAATGAGTTCGCGTGTCACCCTCTGACACGCGTGTCATAGGTTCGCCATCACTGATCTAGAAGGTAGCTGCCAAAATATTACTCCTCATGATATCAATATTGTTATAATGCCCATCAATTCTATCTTCCAAGGGACAGAGAAGGGAAACATTCGGCCTGCTGTGTTGGCACATTGTCGACATCCTATCTTACTGTCTTTTGGATCACATTTGATTTTTTGGCTTTGGACTTGAGTTTCAAGTACATGCACACTCATCCCACTCTCATATGCCGCTCACATCATTTTCTATTCAGTGTCATTTTTGTCCTGACAGTTAAATATTTGAACATGAGTTTTTGCTTAATGAAATAAGTCTTATAATGCTGAAAATTATATAATGCTTTATAATTTAATAAAATACATTTACTCAATATTTTCAGATTAATGATTGAATCAGTTTGTTGTCCATAGTAACCCTAAAAGTCCTGAGAGTAGCATCATCCCTATTATGAATGATACACTCAGGTTAGCGAGATTAAGAGATTGACCCATTCACACTGCTGATGAGTAGTA